TTTTTTGTAATACCCAGGCTGGAGTCCAGTGGAATGATCCCTACTCAAGCTCCAGCCTTGCTTTGGGGCTCAAAAGATCCTTCCATTTCAGCCCCTCACATAGCTGGAACTATAGGTGTGCACCAATACACTTGTCTATTTTTTTTATTTTTTATTTTTAAAAATTTTTTTAATTTTAATTTTTATTAAAAAATTTTATTTTTTGAGTTGGAGTCTCACTCTGTCACCCAGACTGGAGTTCAGTGGCCGCTCCTGGCCACCACAGCCTCGACCTGCTGGGCTCCGGCGATCCTTCCGCCTCCACCTTCCAAGTAGCTGGAACTACAGGCACACGCTACCACATCCGGCTAATTTTTTGATTTATTGTAGAAATGAGGTCTCGCCGAGTTGCCCAGGCGGGTCTCAAACCCACAGGCTTAGGCAATCCATTCACCTCGGCCTCCCAAAGCGCGGGATTGCAGACTGAGCCACTGAGCCCAGCCTATTTTTTTATTTTTATTTTTTGTAGGAACAAGGTCTCACTATGTTGCTCAGGCTGATCTTGAACTCCTGGGCTCAAGCATCTTCTTGCCTCAGTCTCCCGAAGCCCTGGGATTGTAGGTATCAGCCAATACAACTAGATTTGAACTCTTTTTAAAAAAATATTGTCCAACTAGGAACCAGAGATATCACTGATGACTCAATATAAAAGTTTTATCTATAAAAAATATTAGACTAAAGGTGTTCAGGGAGCAGGCGCACACAAAAGAGATTAATGTTTTTGTTGCAAATAGGAAAATGATTAAAAGGATCTCATTGGAAATAAAGAGTGTAAAATATCGTAAGGGACAAAGCTTACAAACAGAGATGCATTCTGAAGTGGTAAAACTAATATTCTTTATGAATATTGACTATTTCCATTTTTTAACTGTTAGGAATAATTTTTAGATGTTCTTGAAAAATCCCTAAGGGCTTCTGCTGAATCTATGAGCATGCTCTCCCATGTCTTTAAGCCCAGGCAGCATTGTCTGGTTTTCTTCCCTTTGTCTAAGACAGCTTTCGAGATACCTTTGCCAAGAATCTCTCTTTTTTTTTTTTCCAGAACTTCCTCAAATCTTGTATTGCTTTGAGAAATATTAATGTAGTAGTATAACAAAAATTAATTATTGCTTGATGTCCATGATATGTTCACAATTTTCCTAGTTGGCTTGGACACCTTTTCTGGCTGCGTTCAGTGTGGGTCTACAAGATTGTGATGATACCGAAGTAGCCTCTCTTTGCCTGGAAGGTATAAGATGTGCAATCAGAATTGCATGCATTTTCAGCATTCAGGTAATGAAGAACTTTGTCTTTTTAGCCATTTTAGAACATTAAACTATGATTACTGTAGTTTAAATTATAATAATTTTTTACGTCTGACTCACTAAAAACTAATTTCAAATTTATGATGAAATTTAAATGAATTTTAATGTTTAAGTTTCTGAGATGCTGTGATGGAAGGGGTAGCTTTATATTGATCTGTCTAAAATTTCTCATCATAACTTTGGTTATAATTTTTTTCTCCATGGAATATTAGCCATGTAAAAAGTTTCCAAGACTTTGGATTCCTATATGTTAATTTGAATATCTTATTTAAATATGCTACATTTCATACTAATTGAATTATTTTATTTACATTTATGTATGTTTTATATGACTTTGTGACTTAAATCTAAGAACAAGCTATTTTTAAGAGAGCCAAGTATCCAGTACGTAATTTTCACTTAAGCAGGGCCTTCTAGCAGGAAATGTTCAATATGAATACATTGTTTATCACTAAAATCTCATCTTGATTTGATACCCCCATTACCTTTGGGTTTTACAAATTTAGGTCTTTTCTGCTTCATTTATCATCTTAAAATGAATGAAAATATTAAAAAACTGTATTTTGTGGTATTGTATGTAATTCATGGCAAATAAAACTTATTACAGTTATAACTTACTGAACTTATAATTTAAAAACTCACCAAACAACTAACCAGAGTTTGTCAGTAGGAAATCTAGAGATTAATTCAGTCTACTCTATTTATAATTATGTAAATATATTTTTGTCTTTTTTTATAGCTGGAAAGAGATGCATATGTCCAGGCTCTAGCAAGATTTACCTTACTCACAGTGAGTTCTGGTATTACTGAAATGAAACAGAAGAACATTGACACAATAAAAACACTCATCACAGTGGCTCACACAGATGGAAATTATTTAGGAAATTCATGGCATGAGGTATAAGCACTGTGTTTATTTTCAACTTTACAATTTGATTTATAAAATGAACTAATGCTAAAAATTCTATTACTGACATGCGTAAGTGTTTGTGAGTGGAAATTAAATTAGTGCATTCGGGGTAAGTACACTTAGCTTTTAAAAATGATTTATAATGTAGCCTATGTTTAAGTTCTAGCTGCATATATTTTAATATTTTTGAGGATATTTTTAACGTGGAATTTACATTTTTTTTTCTTTTTGTGTTCAAGATTCTGAAGTGCATCAGTCAGCTGGAGTTGGCACAACTTATAGGAACTGGAGTGAAACCTCGATACATTTCTGGAACAGTGCGAGGCAGAGAAGGATCTATTACTGGAACAAAAGATCAGGCTCCTGATGAATTTGTGGGCTTGGGGCTAGGTGAGATTTTTTTTTTGTTTTTCTTTGTTTTTTTTTTTGAGTTGGAGTCTCACTCTGTCGCCCAGACTGGAGTGCAGTGGCCGCTCCCAGCCACTGTAGCCTCGAACTAAGACTAAATGTGTGAAGGGTGTAATATATAGTTGGGGAAACTGGAGAAAGCATTTAGATTCAAAATTTTTAGACAGTATGATGGCCTAACCAAACTCTTCTGCCAGTATAGAACCTCTCCTAATGGCTCCCTGTGTGCTCAAAATGGCCAGAAATTTTCAGATTTAACCCAATAGAACAAAGGAAAATATTAATGAAAATCATAGAGAAGAATAAAAAACAGTACATTTTTAGTCATAAATAAAAGGAGTTCCACCAGAGAAAAAATTTAGACTTTGACCTCGAATACTTATGGGTTTGAATTATTTTGTATTGTTTCCATACTGTGTGCAAGTTACTTTAATTCTCTGAGATTCACTTTCTGATTTTGCAAACTAAAAGTTATATCTACTCACAGGATTGTTAGAATTAAATAAGAATATATGGACCTAGCATATTCTTTTTTTGTTTGTTTTTGTTTTTTCGTTTGTTTTGAGTTGGAGTCTCACTCTGTCACCCAGACTGGAGTGCAGTGGCCGCTTCCAGCCACCGCAGCCTCGACCTGCTGGGCTCTGGCGATCCTTCTGCCTCAGCCTTCCAAATAGCTGGAACTACAGGCATGTACTACCACACCCGGCTGTGTTTTTTTTTATTTATTATAGAGATGAGGTCTCGCCTGCCCAGGTGGGTCTCGAACCCACGGGCCCAGGCAGTCCACTCACCTCAGCCTCCTAAAGGCGCAGGATTACAGGCTGAGCCACCGAGCCCAGATAGCATATTCTTATTCTTATGATTAAATAAGAAATATATGGACCTAGCCATTAATGGACCTAGCACAATGGCTGGTATGTTAGAAGTTTCTGGATATTCTCTGTCTGTTCCTCCCACCCTACCTCCAAACAATGAATCTAGAAACGTGACTTAAAGAGAGCAGGAATTTTCTTTCTTTTAGTGATTTCTGTGTTGTCACTAGCAGTACAAATTCTTTGGAAATCCAAAAGAATTTCAAACCTTTTAAAGAAAAGAAGTAGTGACCAGTACTGTGTTGTGGCTTCAAGTTATACTGGAGAAAATTAATTCCTATTAGTAATCCAACTGAAGCATCTAACAGTGCAATCTGTCCTTCAGTAATACCATGGTTGCTATGGTATTGCAAGGCCCAGGAGATGCAGGTGTAGACCTGATCATCTGGAGTTCCAGCAGCAAGATTTAGACTTGCCTGAGCACCTGCACAGTGACTTAAGTAACCTGGATGTCCAACTTTGTACTTTAGAAGTTCATTTACTCCATGGGGTAACACAGGTGAGATACAAATGAACACGATTCTCAGGCAAGTGAAACGAATGTGCACTGATTGATTCAATAGCTTTGGAAAGGCCAAATAATGGTTGATTCAGTAGTTTTGGAAAGACCTAAAAATGGAAGACCAAAATAATGATGGGTGTTAATTGCTGGGGCTCAGTTTTGGCAAGTAGGACTACAAAATTGGGTTACACTAAAAATAAAACACCAGTGGAAGATTTTTATCTTCTAGAAGTTTTAGTCAAGCAAGTGAAATAATGATACTTGCTGATCATTTACTAGTGTACTTGAAAATGAATTAAAATTAATTTGTTCACTGTGCGGTTGTGCTTAGGTGCAAGGATATGAGATGAATTGACTTCTCTTTCCAGAAAAAGAGAATTTACAGAAAGTTACCAACATTCAGGCTTGGAAATGAAAAACAGTTTAGGGTCCAGGCCACTCTAGAAACTAGTAACATTCTTTCATGCTTTATTCAAGTTTTCTCTCATGTAATCTACTTCTCCTTTTGGTCTGTACCATTCTCTATTCCAGATTCATCAGGCTCTCATTTTTGAGTCTACATTCTAGAGGAAACTAGTCTATTGACTTGGCCCCTGTTGGGCAGAGCCTTCCCTTTGGGCTGTTGCATTGGGTTACCAGCCAGCTTATGTGGCATATGTCTTCTGTGCTCACCTACTCAGATGCAGATGCTTTCTTGAGTAGCTGCTGATGTCAGAGTTTTTTTTATTTGGAGTCAGAGTCTCACTCTGTCAGCCAGCCTGGCGTGCAGTGGTATGATCATGGCCTATGCAGCCTCAACCTGGTGAACTTGGGTGATCCTTCTGCTTCAGTCTTCCAAGTGCCAGAACTACAGGCGTGTGCCACCACATCTGGCTATTTTTTGATTTATTGTAGAGATGAAGTCTCACCAAGTTGTCCAGGCTGGTCTCGAACCCCAGGGCTCAAGTAATCCTCTTACCTCGGCCTCCCAAAGTGCTAGGATTATAGGCATGAGCCATTGCGCCTGCCCTGAAGTCAGAATTTAAACTAGAAGAGGGTGTGGTACACAGTCGAGCCAGTTTAGTCTATATGTACAGTATGTATATTTGTTTTAAGCCTGGCTCGGTGGCTCAGCCTGTAATCCCGCACTTTGGGAGGCTGAGGTGAGTGAATTGCCTGAGCCTGCAGGTTCAAAACCCGCCTGGGCAACTTGGCAAGACCTCGTCTCTACAATAAATCAAAAAATTAGCTGGGCGTGGTAGTGCGCACCTGTAATTCCAGCTACTTGGAAGGCTGAGGCAGAAGGATCACCAGAGCCCAGCAGGTCGAGGCTGTGGTGGCCAGGAGTGGCCACTGCACTCCAGCCTGGGTGACAGAGTGAGACTCCAACTCAAAAAATAAATAAATAAATAAATAAAAATAAAAAGTATATATATTTGTTTTAAACTACTACCCTCCTTTATTAATAGTTATCTATGTGCCACATATTCCATGTAACTAAATTGACAAGGTTGAGTATATATTTATCTGGCTTTCTGATTGATAGGAAAAATATCAGTACCTTCGCTTTCTGGAAACCTGAAATTTTCAGTTATATACATTCTGTTTTTTAAGAGATATATTAATATTTAAAAGTTCAGTGTAAATGGTTAGAGAATATTCACAACATACACATTTTGTTCTTAGTTAACCTAAATGTGTCTGCTTTTGGGGAATTTCTTTGATAAACCTAGAACTCAGCCTATTATCTTATACTGTCATACGATTCTTTGAAAAATTTCACATAGTTATATAATGGGTTCTTTGGATTTCTAGACATTTTATATATTTGATTCCTTTAAATAATTTATTATTAATTATTATGTCATTATATTTAAATATAAAGGTGTAAAGCTCTGTGGAAAGGACATACAGTTGAAACACGAAGTTGCGTGATGATTGGCATTTTCTTCTCATAGGTTTTTCTTCGTAAAATTCCTATAGCATGTACTTCAAGTATACCTTCACTTCAAGTATGCCTTCACACTGTTTCCCTGCCACCCCAGTTCTCTGTCATTTACTTCAGGCTTTCGTGCTTAGTTGTATTATAGGAAGAGGCTTTTAATTTTTTTGACTCCTATGTCTTTTCCTATTTCAATGTGTTCTCCTGATACCACCATCATTTATCTTTTGAAAAATAAATTGGATCTTGTCAGTCTTCTATAAGATCTAATGGTTCCCTGTTTTTAAAAGTAGTACATCAAGCTTGAGACTCATGGCTCTTCACAATCTTTTTCTGGTCTGTCTTTCCAGTTTTATCTCCTACTACTTTCCCTTCCCACCAAACCCTCCATCGTGGCTACACAGTATATTAAAACAAGATGTACACTTGCATGCTTCCATTACTTTATATAGCTGCCTCTGTCTGAATTGCTGATCTTTTTACTCCCTTTTCCACATAGTCATCCTTCTAGGTCCAGCTTGAATTAATATTTTATCATATATGAAGCCTTTTCAAGAGCTAACACCCCTGTTCTTCTTGGCCCTATCAAAATTGTTTTTCTTTAGCAAACCAATATTCTGTGTTTTTAGTTCATTTCAGCCATGAAGTAATCATTACCTTAAACATGTCTGTCTCTCCTGGTAAATTATTAACTCATTGAGGACAGGAATCACATCTTTTCACATTATTCTGTTCCTAGAATAGAATTTGAGTTCAACTAGTTTAAATGGATTTGCATTCAGAAAGGCATTTATTGAGAATGTTTGGTCAACCAGGTCAACAGGTGTTTGTAGAGTACCTGCCTTGGACTTAATATTGAATAAGGTAGGAAAGTACCAAAAATGTATATGAATTGATTTTTAACCTCAGGAAACTTTAACATACCTAAAATAATTTATATGAAACCTCATCAGCAAAGGTACCTGCATAATGAACATTTGTGTACCTAATCCTGAATTGTACCCCACATATTTAAAATAAATTTTTTTTCAAATTTATATGAAACTGTATGCAGGAATTCTGATTTGAGTAGTACTTAGTTAAGTAATTGCTTAGTATGGTAGCACATGAGAGCGATGGAGAGGAATCCTTCATTAAGAATACAGACTGAGTCTTGATAGATAAGTTTTAAATAGTTAAAAGGGGTGACACATTTTGGCTAGACAGTTGAAGGGAAGTGCCTTAAGTGCTAGGCTGAAGATTTTATATAATTCATCCTGAAAGAGTAAGGAAAATGAAGGTGATAATTTAGGGAAATTAATCTGGCAGGAGAATGAAAGAGAGATTGAAGAGGGAATAATTGAAGAAGAAATAATTAGTGGCAAGGAAATCAGTAATCCTGGACTGAAATTATGAGTGTCTACACTAAGTAGGAATGGAAATTAATAAATTCTATGAAAAAAACAGTTGAAAAGAAGGGTTTAGAGATTAGTTGAATGTTGATGGTGGAAGAAGGGACAGATATCAGTGATGATTCTAAGGTTCAGAGTTTGAAAATGGGATATTGTTGTTCCACTGTCCACTGTTTTCAGGGGAAAAGATAAGTGATTATTGTAAATAAGCAGATGTTGGAAAACACTGGTCGAATTTTCAACTAGCATTTGTAAACAAGGATTAGAGATTAAATAATAGGACAAGTCTAATTATAGGAGGTTGGAATTTTCTTCAGAAGATATCATTGGAACTGCAGTTAGTACTGCATTTTTAAAATATTAATGGAAATTGTGTCTAATGTTATTAATTTTGTTATCTGAATTCACAGTGCCCCTAATTTGTGTGATATAACCATGTGTTGTATACTACTTAATATAGTTCATCAAAGATATTTGACTTTGATAAATATCCCTGGTACCAGAAGAACTGTTCACTTCAAATCCTTATTTCCTTTATTATGAAAATTAATCGATTTCAGAAATGTGTTTTAAAAATGAAAATGCAGTCCCCCACTGAATTATTTTCAAGCTGAAATGACTTTCTTTTATATGTGGTAGTTGGAGGAAATGTGGACTGGAAGCAAATAGCGAGTATTCAAGAATCCATTGGAGAAACCAGTTCTCAAAGTGTCGTCGTTGCTGTAGATAGGTAAGGTATTCATTTTATTCCCTGTTTAGATGAATACTATTTTAATTCTATAGCATCTAAACACTTGCTCATTAGTAAGAATAAAAATATTATTGCAAAAATGATTTTCCTAAAGTGATACAAGACTATATTGTGATATGTTGTGATTTAGATGATGTCATTACCTATAATATTGCTTTTTGATCATAGAATGTAAGAAGGAGATAAACAGTATGAAAATTTAAGTTACAGTAGTTATTAATGAGCATTAGGGAAATGGTAACCTTGATGACAATAATGCAAATGTTTTATTCCCTTTATAGAAAACTTACTCCCATTATTACTGCTATTTTAAAATATAGTATAGTTTCTTTTTGGATCTGTGGTATAAGACTTCATTATAGGCAAAATGAAAGAATTTTACTGGCAATTCTCATAACCTTTGGAAAGGACTTCAGAATTTACATATTGCATATATTAGCAAGTATTTCCCATTTTTAGTTTTTTTTTCCTAAAAAGAAAACCTATACTGTTGTTTATTTACTGAGGAGTATTTCATATTTTAAAAGGCTTAGCATATAGAGAAATATCTTTTGTTGTTTTTTGAAGACAGCTTTTGCTAGATAAATGTCCCCCAAATTGAAACTTTTGTCTTCTAAGTTGATTTCTCAGTCTGTCACCCAGTCTGAGATGCAGTGGCATAATCACTGCTCACCACAGCCTTGAACTCCTGGGCTCGGGTGATCCTTCAGTCTCCACCTCCTTATTAGCTGGGACAACAGGTGTGCACCACCATGCCTGGCTAATTTTTAATTTTTTTTTTTTTTGTAGAGAAGAAGTCTCACTATGTTGCCTAGGCTGGTCCTGAACTCCTGGGCTCAAGCAATCCTCCTGCCTCAGCCTCCCAAAGTGCTGGAATTACAGATATGAGCCACCATGGCCAGCCCTGAAACTTAACATTTTTAAATGCTGACTTTTTTTTCTATTTGTGATAGAAACTTTAAGAAATATAAGTAAATATAAATACAACAATGTAATTTGTACTATAATCTTTTCTTGATGACCTGGAAACTCTTGCTGATCTGTTATTTTACTGTGCTTTCAGATAAAACTTTTTGCTCCAAGTACAGACAATGTTAGAATGTTCAAAGTCTTCTAATCCTGGAAGTACTCCATGGAACTTCTTCCTTGAAAATAGCTCTTAATGTCTACTTGCTGTCCTTTTTTTAAGGGAGGGAGTCCTTTGCCCTTTTTATTTGAAGGTTGAAGAAAGATTGTGTGTCATCTTATAACTACTATTTAGCATGAAAGCTTGCCATGGTTGGGGCACTTAACATGTATGACTTCATTTAATCCTTTCATAGCCTCTTGATATGAGGCTCTTGATATGCTGTTGTCCGCAAAGATGAGGAAACTAAGGCAAGAGGGTTTTAAATAACTTGCTCATTCCCACAATCAGTCTTCTCTTGTTTTGATTATTGTGATAACAATATGTGTTATTTTTTTTGTTCATAGAGAATTTTAAGGGGTAGAGCCATGCTGTTCACTCAGGCAGCACATATCTGAGTGTGCACACAACCTTTTCACTTTTCAGTCTGCATGTGTAACTTCAGAGCCGTGTAATAGTCATTCGGATACAAGTTATTTTCTTGCCTCCTAGAATATTTTTACTGTCACTTTGAGAACCTGTTCAATGCTTTTTTTTTTTTTTGAGTTGGAGTCTCACTCGGTCACCCAGACTGGAGTGCAGTGGCTGCTCCCGGCCACCGCAGCCTCGACCTGCTGGGCTCCGGCGATCCTTCCGCCTCAGCCTTCCAAGTAGCCGGAATTACAGGCATGCGCTACCACGCCCGGCTGATTTTTGTTTTTGATTTATTGTAGAGATGAGGTCTCGCTGCCCAGGCGGGTCTCGAACCCGCGGGCTCAGGCAATCCACTCACCTCAGCCTCCTAAAGGCACGGGATTACAGGTTGAGCCACCGAGCCCGGCCTGTTCAATGCTTTATTGAGAATCTATTCCAGCAAGATTCAGCAGTTTACCTACTATTTCTGTTTCCATTATATACTTTATATGACCACACCAAGTTCTAATTTATCATCCTGTCCACTGCTTGTTATGTGTCACCCATTTGAACAAATTACTTACCTCTCTGTTTAAAGAACTTGTGCTGTTTTGGAGGAGACTTAGCATAAATTCTATTAGTAGCTTGTCATTACAAGCTTATCATCATCTGATACTTCTACAAACATAAATCCATTGTTCAATTTTTTTTTTTTTATGAATAGCCATGCCAAGGTAATGCCTCAAAAAAATTAGCTCTGAAAGCACAGAAATCTTTAGTAAAAGGTGAAAGATGTATACAAACTGAAGAGAAACCACAATATCAATATTCAGTTTTATACAAAACCTCAGTATTGCAAATTTTAAAGTATAGTGAAAGCATTAAGAGTTAAATATTTAGTTTCTTATAGGTTATATTCTTGTGTCATATATTTCACTTTCTCATTAAATTCCTTGTGAATTTTTTTCTGACTATCTTGAGTTTATTTTCATGTGTTATACTCCAACTCTGGTTCATAACCAAACTTATTGAGATAATACTGGTAGTCAAGACAGTAGTAGTAAAAATATTGTCAGGCGTTTTTCTATATTTTTCTAGCATAGCAAACAAGATCATTTTTCCTTTTCTAAGGCCTCTTGTTCTGCATAATCTGTTATTTTAAGTATAGAAACTAAACAAATAAAGTCTTCTGTGTTGATTTCTTTATAGCTTCTGTTTCTTTCTTTTTTTTTTTTTTTTTTTGAGTCAGAGTCTCACTCTATTGCCCAGACTAGAGTACAGTGGCCACTCCCAGCCACTGCAGCCTCGACCTGATGTGCTCAGGCGATCCTTCCACCTCAGCCTTCTGAGTAGCCGGAATTACAGGCACGTGCTACCATGTCTGGCTGATTTTTTTATTTATTGTAGAGATGAGGTCTCGCCAAGTTGCCCAGGCGGGTCTCGAACCCGCGGGCTCTGGCAATCCACTCACCTCAGCCTCCCAAAGTGCGGGATTACAGGCTGAGCCACTGAGCCCGGCTAGCTTCTGTTTCTTAACAGAAAAAATATGATTTTATTAAAAACTTCAAGATGATACAATTTTCTGCTTTTGTATCAGAAATCATATACCATTAGAATTTAGGAAAAGACTATTGAACACTTTAATCTGAGAGTAACTGATACTCTAGCATTTGCAAGGGAAGAATCTTCTAGGCATTGTTAAGATCAATTTTATAATGAATATTACTAAACTGTGCAAGGAATAGACTTTGTCCAGGAATGATTTGCTTTTAATAGCTAAAAACAGTTATTTAGCATCAGTTTTGTCTTTATTATTGTCTCTCATGCATACCAGATCTAGTTATAAACTGGCTTATCTCATACTTTGGAACATTCTGTCACCTATCAGAAAATATGTATAGCTCATCCTAACTTCATTTGCTCATAAATACTTTTCAATTAGGTCTAAGAAATAAGTTACCTCTGATGTTTTCACTGTGAAAAAACCTGTTAGAGGTATTATATTTTAGGCTGTTTGTATGTTAAAAGTTTATTTGATTGGGACTCTGCAAAAGTTTTGCCAACCTCTTTTTTTGTCTCTATATCTGTATCATAATGTGGATGAGGCAGTAATCTTAGCAACTGCTCCCCCTTCTCGTGTTTTTTAGGGCATATCTTTTAATATTGGAAAACAAGGTTCTTACTCTTGTGTTCTTTGCTTTTCTTATGGGGAATGTAGAATCCTTTTCATAGACTGATTTTGTGAAGCAGCTCTGTTCTCCTGTCTTAGGATATTGAGGCTTAGCTTTAAGTACCTCCACAGACTGCTGTGTACCACCATATGGCTTATCTTTAGTAGAACATTATTAGAAATAGTGCACAGCTACTTGGAAGGCTGAGGCGGAAGGATCACCTGAGCCCAGCAGGCCAACTCTGCGGCGGCTGTGAGCGTGCCACTACACTCCAGCCTGGGCAACAGAGTGAGACTCCGACTCAAAAAAAAAAGAAAGAAAGAAAAAGAAATAGTGTGACCCCTCAGAGACTACCAAGTGAGTAGGAATTTGAATATCCTTAGGATCATTCCACCATCACTCCAGTCTGCAGAACCTGTCTAGCATCACCCTTACCTTCCAGCATCACCCCAGTCTGCAGAACCTGTCTGATTGCTGATGATAATTCTCCTTGTTGCCTTTGTTCTCTTTTATTTCAACACCTTCAGAATCTGTTGCTGCCTTTTTCTGTAGTTTCATCTCTGCTGCTGTTCTTTACTCCTCTACTTTTTACCATTTGCTTTCTTCCCAGTTTAAAAAAAAATTATTTCTTGTTTTTGTGGGGAGGAGGGGATTGTTTGCCTTTTGTTGTTTCCCCTATACTACTTAATTTTGGCTCTATTTGGGGTGTGGCTTGTTTATAGCTATTTCCATCCTTGAGAGTACCTCTAGTTTACAAAATCAGCAGATCTCATTTGTAAAGGATAGTCTGACAAGTTTAATTTTTTGTTTATGTGAGAGCTTTGTAGTCTTTGTATATTTTTAATTTCTGGGTCCAGTCTAACCGTTGGATTAAATGAGCCTTATTACTTTTTTTTTCCCCCCAGATTTTGTTTTCTGCCATATTTTTGTATTATTGCTTCATTCTGGTGACACGAACATTATAGAATATTTTAAGACATTCCTTTAGCAGGAGCTCAGATTCTGAGTTATCATGTTACCACTTTCTAAACTGTTTTCCTGTCTTGTTTTTCTTACTTATTGCCTGATTACATAGACATTCAAGGCCACTGAAGTTTAAAAAATTATAATATACTCAAAATATTTAGATTGTGGTAGTAGGAAAAAGCTAGAATATATTTTAAATGTCTACTGTATGTTTTGTTGTTAAGTGTGAGGCAGTATAGAAAAGTAATAAGAAGGTGGACTCGGGAGTCAGCCTGTGCTGGTTTAAATTTTGGCTCTTGCACTTACTAGTTCTGTGACTTTGAGAAAGTTATTAAATATCTTTATGCCTTGGTTTCTGTACTTATAAAATTGGGATTATAATATCACATGCTTCACTAGGTATTTGTGATTATCAAATGAGTGGATATATATACTGCACTAGAATAGAGCCCATGTTGTGGTTGGTAGCTATTTATTACTATAATTTCTATACTTAATATTTGATTTGGTCCTGCCTTTTAAGTTTTTCTTATTATCATGCATGTCCTGTTTTGTGAATTTTAAATTGAAGAATGTCATTCTTTTGGAAGTCACATTAAAACTCTTGATTATAAACCCCAGAATATGGGCAAAAATGCAGACTTTAAAAAAGAATACTAATATGTTTATACAGAAATGTTTTATAAAACTTTGAAGCACAGAAAAAGAGCTCAGCAAAGAAGAGTGGGTAAAATTGGGCAGTATATCTTAACTGTAAACATTTGAATGCACTAAGGAAAATGGTTTAGCCAATCTTTGGTTAAATTGAGACCTTTTGCAAGATTACATTAGATCACTTTTTATTTACCCCAGATAAACTTTCTAATCAAATGTGCATTATTTGTAAAAATAAAGTACAACTTGTCATTTTAAGAACTTGTGTAATACTGGTATATAATTAGGAAAAGTTGAAAAATCTTCTGTTTCATAGTATAGCCAGTTATATGCTAGTTTTAAAAATTGATATTTTTCTAGGCTGTGCGTGGTGGCTCATGCCTGTAATCCCAACACTCTGTATGCGAAGGCAGGAGGATTATTTGATTCCAGGAGGTTGAGACCAATCACAGCAACATAGTGAGACCCCTTATCTCTACAAAAAAAAAAAAGCAAGCAAAAAGATTAGTTGGGTGTGGTGGCATATGCCTTTAGACTTGGGAAATTTTGAGGTGGAAGGATCCCCTGAGTCCAGGAGGTCAAGGTTGCAGTGGGCTGTACTTGTGCCAGTGTAGTCCAGCTTGGGTGACTGAGTGAGATCCCCACTCAAAAAATAAATAAATAAATAAATAAATAAATAAATAAACTATATATATGTATGTATTTCTTATTTTTAGAATCTCATAAGACACCTATCTGGTGTTTGTAAATCTACTAATAAAACTATAGCAACATATACCTGTTTTAAAAATAATTTTGCAAATATGCAAAGTGATACATATGGAGTAGGAGTTAGAAACATTCAAACTAACCTTGCTACTAAATGATGAAAAATACTCATTTGACCACTTAACTTTTTGTTCCCTTAAAACACAAAAATGGCTAGTACCCTAGGCCACTCACTTTTAAAATGACACAAGATAAGTAATTTATAAATGTATTAATGGTTAAAATTATGTTTTATTTTTCCCAGAATATTCACTGGCTCTACAAGACTAGATGGGAATGCTATTGGTAAGTAGGTACACTTATTCTACTTACGAACTGGCCTTTGAGCTAAAAGACTTTAAAGTTGAGCTTTAAAAAATGTAAATGTATGTTTGTTACAGTGGATTTTGTCCGTTGGCTCTGTGCTGTGTCTATGGATGAATTACTTTCTACTACACATCCAAGAATGTTTAGTCTACAAAAAATAGTGGAAATATCATATTACAACATGGGAAGAATAAGATTGCAGTGGTCTCGAATTTGGGAAGTTATTGGAGATCATTTTAATAAGGTATTTAAATATCTGTGGTATTTGTTTAAGTTTGTGATATTTTCCTTGTTTAAAGTTTCCTAATACTCTATTGAGGCTATTTTCTTTTCAAGCAGTTATTTATTACTTTTTTACAATTAAATTTAAGAAACATTTTGAATCTTTTTCTTTTTAGAAATGATTGCTCTAGGTTATAAGAATTTGGTTAAAATATCTATTTTTTTGGTTGAGAAATATTTTTAGCATATTTAGTGCCTTTATGGAGAATTTAGAATTTACCTGTCTTTGCTATTAATTATATACTGTTTCTAAGACAAAAATAAAGAATTATAGATTTTTACTGCTGACGTTAGTGTCTTATATTTCTGTTGCCATTACAGGTTGGCTGTAATCCTAATGAAGATGTAGCTATTTTTGCAGTAGACTCCTTAAGGCAGTTGTCAATGAAGTTCTTAGAGAAAGGGGAGCTTGCTAATTTCAGATTCCAGAAGGACTTCTTAAGACCTTTTGAACATATAATGAAACGGAACAGGTATTATATTTGTTGAATTGCTTAATATCAGAAAAGTCTTATTTTTCCACAGCAGGGGTAAAAACAGCAGAAAGGAAAAAATCAGATGCATTTTATCTATATGTATATCCAAGCAATTATATTAATATTTTAGGTCTCCAACAATTCGAGATATGGTTGTACGCTGTATAGCACAGATGGTTAATTCTCAAGCTGCTAACATTCGATCTGGATGGAAGAACATTTTCTCTGTATTTCATCTAGCCGCATCTGATCAAGATGAAAGCATAGTGGAACTTGCATTTCAAACAACCGGGCACATTGTCAGTGAGTATTCTCTTAGCTCTGTTCAAGTAAAATAATTTAAAAAACAAAAAAAATGCTTTCAGAAGATAAATTAATTATAGTAAGATTATGGGACCATTATGGGCTTTAAGTTTACCTAGTTTTACTACAGAACCAAAGTAAATAATGATAATTAAATTATTATAGTTAACATTTATTGAGTGTTTACTATATGGTAAGCACTGTAAGCACTTTTTGTGTATTTTCTTTAATCATTATTCTGTGAAATATTTTTTTGTAAGAGATTGGTTCTTGCTCTAGCTTCCAGGCTAAAGTATAGTGGCAGCCGGGCTCGGTGGCTCAGCCTGTAATCCTGCACCTTGAGAGGCTGAGGTGAGTGGATTGCCTGAGCCCATGGGTTCGAGACCTGCCTGGGCAACTTGGCGAGACCTCATCTCTATAATAAATAAAAAATTAGCTGGGTGTGGCAGCACACGCCTGTAATTCTGGCTACTCGGAAGGCTGAGGCGGAAGGATCGCCAGAGCCCAGCAGGTTGAGGCTGTGGTGGCCAGGAGCGGCCACTGCACTCCAATCTGGGCGACAGAGTGAGACTCCAACTCAAAAAAAAAAAGTGTAGTGGCATATCCACAGCTCACTGTAACTTCAATCTCCTGAGCTCAAGTGATCTTCCACCTCTGCCGCCCAAGTAGCTGGGACAACAGGCATGTGCCACCATGCCTGGCTAATTTTTTTAAAAATTTTTTGTAGAGATGGAAGTCTCTCTGTGTTGCTGAGACTGGTCTCAAACTTCTTGCCTCAAGTGATCCTCCCACCTCGGCCCCCCAAAGTGCTGGGATTACAGGCATGGGCTTCTGTACCCAGCCAAGTTAAGTATCTTTATTATCCCTCTTCTCTAAATAGATTAGGAAATTTAGCCCCAGAGAGGTTAAGCAAATTGCTTAAGGCTGTGGACCTGGTGAGTGATGAAGCTAGTATTCAAAGTCATGAAATATTAAGGCAATACCTTTGTTTTTCACCAGCCTCCTTTGACTTTTAGAGGGACTGAAACACTAAGGATATAAATTAGACCTGTATAGAAGATAGTGATAACTATCAAGAATCATGACACAGGCTAGGCACCATGGCTCATGCCTGTAATCCCAACATTTTGGGAAGCCACGGTGGGAGGATTGCTTGAGCCTAGGAGTTCAAGACCAGTGTGGGCCACATATTGAGACATCATTTACATTAAAAAAAAAATAAATCATGATGGCATTTTCTGAGCTATAATTTATTGAGTGGTTGCTTAAGTATTATGCCACTTTACTGACATTACTTTATGTAGTGTTTAACAACTCCTGTGGTATTATTATCCTCATTTTATAGATCCAGAAGCTGAGTTTCAGAAAGGTTAAGTAATTTTGTATAGTCATTCAGCCAAAGTTGATTTGGTACCTACTATGTACCAGTCACTGTATTAAGTGCTACGTTTATAGTATAAATAAAACAGACAAGTTTCCCTGTTCTCATCACTCAAGGCAGTCAAGTAAGTGGTAGAGACAGGCTCAAACTTCATATGTGTTAGGCATCAAAGGCTTTAACAACTGTTTGGTTTTTTTTGTTTTTTGTTTTGGTTGTTTTTGTTTCTTGAGTCGTATTGTCACTCTGTCACCCAAGCAGGAATGCAATAGTATGCTCATGGCCACCACAGATTCGACCTGCTGGTCTCAGGCTATCCTTCTGCCTCAGCCTTCCAGGTAGCTTGGAACTACAGGCATGCACCACCACATTCAGCTAATGTTTTGATTTATCGTAGAGATGAGGTTAACAACTGTTAAAGAGTGCATTCATCTAGAAACTGAAGTATTTTTGGTACAATTAAGAATAATTTAAAAATTAGAGTTATTCTGATATATTTCTCTCTATTTTAGCTCTTGTATTCGAAAAACACTTTCCAGCGACCATTGATTCTTTCCAGGATGCAGTGAAGTGTTTGTCTGAATTTGCGTGCAATGCAGCTTTCCCAGACACAAGTATGGAAGCAATTCGACTTATTCGCCATTGTGCAAAATATGTGTCTGATAGACCTCAGGTATAGCGTCATTTAGTAAACAAAACTTTGCTTAGTATTTATTTCCAGTCTGAAATCTAAGTTTGGGAATTTGAGGGTACATATGAAACATTTGTTTTTAAGTGAACTGAAAAATAATTTGAGCTTGATTCTGAGTTATGTTGAGTAGTGATTATAACTAACCATTATTGAAGGTGTCACATATTTTCCTGAGTATTTTGTTTTGTTTTATTTAATCTTTATAACGATTTTATGAGATAGGTGGTGTTACAGCCCCTTGCAGATAAGAAAACTGAAGCACAGAGCAGTTTAATAATATGCCCTCAGTTGCAGAGCTAGTAAAGTAGAGCCATGGTTTGAACCTCAGCTTGTTTTTTAGTCATTCCCTATAGTGTTTCTTGACTGTTTGTGCTCTGCAATATTGAACTTAACTGATTGCAGATAAGTTTAAAGCTTGAGCTCTGAAGTAAAAGATTGAATTGACAATCTGGCAACCAAGTTTAACTTACATGCATATCTGAATCTGTCTTTGTAACTATCCTGAGGGAAAGTAATATATCATAGACTTGATAATAAGATTTTATTTCATACTAACATGGACTTATCAGGCACATAGCACTTTTTAGAGACACCAACTCATTTGACATTCACACTTCCCTATTGTGGTTATGTGGTATCATAATCATTTAAATGATAAAAATGGAAACCTGGATTAACCTGGCTAATAATGCAGAAAGCTGGTGACAGTTGAAGACAAAGTCAACTTTTGAATTCTTTTCCAAAGATTTTTGCAGGCAGTTATATCATGCTTGCTTCAGCACCACAATAAACTCAGTTATAGTCTCTGTCTTCTTATAAATTATTGTTTATTAAATTGTTCACTTTTGATTGGTAAACATTTAAAATTGTTTTGAGAAGTAATATGTTAAATATATAGGTATTATGTTTTGCCTTTAATAGTCCTCTCTTTCTTCTTGAAGGCGTTCAAGGAATACACTAGTGATGATATGAATGTCGCACCTGAAGACAGGGTGTGGGTGAGAGGATGGTTCCCAATTCTCTTTGAGTTATCCTGTATCATCAATAGATGCAAATTAGATGTAAGAACCAGGTAACAATCTGTATTTGTAATTAAAATTTTGAAGGGTTTATTTTTGACCGTAATTAAATCAATTCCTCTTATATAAACACAAAATTACAATTATCAAACAGCAATTATTAGATAGGCAGATTTTAAGATATGTTAATATGATTTTCAAATGTTGAACAAAATAAAAGTAGAAACACTACATTTTTAAAAGTTTGACTGTAGGCTATTGTAAATTTTAGCTTCTAAGTTAATACTTTAAACATACTTATCTTTGTATAAGTTTTTCAATTGCAAATTGAAGTTAATGGCAAAATTTATTTTGCTTCCTGATGAATTTTAGAATGCACATCTTTGTTGGACTTTAGGTAAAGAATCATTTCTTTTTGAAGCCTGGTCAGTAACATAATCTGCAATAATACAGATCTATTCTAGTATAACTCTTTCAAAAGTATATTTCCAATAAAAGATCTGTATGAACATGCAGTCAATTTGTAAAGGAATTATTATGGATATTATGTAACTGGCCAAGTGCTCAGTTCACTGTAATTATGTCACAGCTCACATCACTTTCATAGTACAGTTTTCTGGGCCCTGTACTTTTGACTGCCATATCCAAATGGCCAACTTGTGTGTTAACAAGTATTTAAGTCAATCATAAGTTCAATTTTATTGTAAACAAAATCCCTTTCGGATATCCTCCTTCTTTTTTGGAAGAATCATTATTTGAATATTTCACTTTGTTGAATTTTTTGAAATTATAACGGTAGCTCATACTTGTAACAAATCAATGATAGAAATTTAAAGAATGAACCTCTAATCTCTCCTTCTTTGCCTTATGCCAGAACCACATCCATCCCCCATCAAGGTTAAATTTAACTTATAGTCTAAGAAACTTTTCATTTTTATTAGCACAATTTGCTGTAACAAATTTTTGTAGATAATAATCCAAAATAAGACTTAACCCTTAGAAATTTGTCATAAAATTTAGTAATAATGAAAATATAGAGTATCTTATTTTATATCCAGATATGGTGAATTTTTTAATCAGTGAACTTTTTAGGAACTTGTTAAAATTCCAGACAGCTTCAATTTTTAAATGTTCAGTCAAATGTCAGCACTCCCCTCCTCACCCTTATTTGTAGACATTTATTTGACAGAGAATCTATCTGCTTTTTAGCCCGTCACTGCCTGCGACCATGATACCTTGCTTCTTACCATGTTCCACATTCAGATTAAGGGTGGATTCTCGTTAAAGAAAAGAGGATATGTGTGCTCTAGTTAGCAGAGAAGGAAGAGATCAGTACATTTTGATTAGTGGTGACCACTGATTTTCCTCCCACACCTGAGGATTTGTATGGACTGATATTTAGATTACATATTGAAATGCAGCACTCTGATTTGTATAACACTATGATAACAAAGAACTTTCACATGCATTTTCATTTGATTCTCCCCAAATTCTAGAGATTTAGGGATAAATAATTAGCCCAAATTAGGGTCCCAAATACAGTCATACATTGCTTAACAACAGGGATATATTCTGTACAATGCATTATAATGTGATTCTGTCATAGTGTAAACATTATAGGGTATACTTACACAAGCTTTAGATGATAGAGCCTACTACACACCTAGACTACAAACCTAGACTACACCTAGACTACAAACCTACTACACACCTAGACTGTACAGTATGTTATTGTGCTGAATACCGTAGGCAGTTGTAACACAATGGTAAGTGTTTATATATCTAAACATAGAAAGGTACAATAAAAATACGTATAAAAGATTTAAAATGAAATACCTGTATAGGATGCTTACCATGAGCTTGCAGGACTGGAAGTTGCTCTGGGTGAGTGAGTGAGTATTGAGTGACTGTGAAAGTCTAGGACATTACTGTGCACTACTGTAAGTTTTATAAACACTGTACACTTAGTCTACACTAAACTTATAAAACACTTTTTCTTCAATCAAAAGTTAACCTTAGCTTACTATAACTTTTTTACTTTACAACTTTTTCAATTTTTGACTCTTTTGTATTGGTACTTAGCTTACTTTTTATACTTATTTTGTTAAAAACTAAGATACAAACATGTGCATTAGCCTAGGTCTATACAGAATCAGGATCATAAATATCACTGCTTTCTACCTTCACATCTTGTCCCACTGGAAGGTCTTCAGGGGTAATGCATGGAACTATCATCTCCTATGATAATGATGCCTTCTTCTGGAATGCCTCCTGAAGGACCTGCCTGAGGCAGTTTTACAGTTAACTTTAAAGTTTATAAATCTAAGGGAGTACACCTTAGAATAATGATAAAAGGTATAGTATAATAGATACATTAATCAGTAACATAGTCGTTTATTAGCAATACTGGCAGTGCAGTCGGTTTATTTACATCAGCATCACCCCAAATACATGAGTAATGTATTGTTGACCTATGACCTTATGAAGGCAATGACTATGATGTCACAAGATGATAGGAATTTTTTCAGCTCCATTATAGTCTTATGGGACCACCACTGTATATGTGGTCCATCATTGACATAAAGATCCTTCTGCAGTGTATGACTTGTATTCCTTTTCCCTACACCAGCTGCTAATACTTAAGCATGGCATTAAAGACATTTTCAACAGTAAAAGTCATCAGAAACTGCTGGTCTCTGTGTTTGCTTTGGGCCTCTGAAACAACAAAATTGCCCATATCCCCTTACCCACAACTATGGAGGCAACATCTGTTACTTGGAGTGGAAAGGAATAGACACAGAGCTCAACAGGTTGAGGAATAGAGAGCCTTGTTCCATTGTAAGGGGGGAATCTATGAGTAGCATCCAGTGGTGAACTCTGACAGAGGTCTCCTGTGGAAGACTGTTTCTTCCCCAGGAGTTTCCTTACTTTGATTTCTTTACCACTGAATTTTGCTTATTAAGTATCTTAGGCATCAAATAGACTGTTATGAACTTGCTGTATAGGATTAAACTACTGTGATGGTATTTTATACATTCATTTAACAAATACTTGAGAGAACCTACTGTGTACCAGGGATATACTAGACTTGGAGGTAGCTTAGTAGCAAATGATTAAATTATGTACCGGTCCTTATGGAGCCTTTCAAAGAAAATTGCTCTGACTTACTGTCAGACTGTTGGAAACATAAAGCATCTCTAAATTGGAGGTTGCCTGTATTTTGCCAGAGAAAAAGCAATATATAGAGAGAAGATCAAGCGTTTTAATGGTTATATAAAGATATTATTTCAGGAAGGAATAAGGAATCAGGAAGGCATTCTTGCTATTCAGTTTTAGCACTTGCTTATGCAAAAATTAGTCAGTGTGATATTAAGTAGTTTATTTGTTCAACAAATATGAATTGCTTGCTTCCTAGGTGATGAGTACTGCTTTATTCCTAGGATATAACAGGGCACAAAGCAAACACAGAGCCCTGCCCTCATGGTGTTTATGCCTTAGTGGATTCGTTTTATGAATTATTTTGTTTTAGGATATTGTGTGAACAAGGTTTATAGTGTTACCTAAAAATCCCCATAGTTCTTTGAAAACATTTTTCTAAAGTTTAATTTTTGTTTCTGTTTAGACTGCTACAGATGCACTTTCTTCCTTGGCTATAGTGCCTAAAAATTAATATTTCCTCAAGTGGTGATCTTTGTCAATCTATAGTTCCATTTATAATATTTAAATATTGGAATGGTGAAGTGGGAGTGGAGGAAAAGTAAAATAAAGCAAAAAATTTAAAGCAAAGCCTTTGGAGGGTGTTTTTTTTCCCCCTGAATGAAGTATCCTAAAGAAACCTGTTGTTTTACAACTTACATATTTTTTAACATTATAGGGTCCTGTGTTTAAGACCAGTTTTAAACTTTCTGGTTTTAGTAACTTTGTGAACTATAAAAGCTATTTTAGGAGGGGATGCTTTTATGTATTACAGTTGTCCTGATTATATTTTGTCATTTTAGGGGTTTAACAGTAATGTTTGAAATAATGAAGACATATGGCCACACTTACGAAAAACACTGGTGGCAGGATTTATTTAGAATTGTTTTCAGAATCTTTGACAATATGAAATTGCCAGAACAGCAGACAGAGGTAAGAAAACACAACATTTTCATTTAGTGTAGTCAAGTTAAAAGGTTCTTGATATTTTCCCCAGTACATTTTAGTGTTTCAAATTAAGCAGAAAAAAATTCCCAAAATTTTTTCTTTAAAGCATGAAAATATAATAGTATGTCTTTATAAACAAGAACACCTATATGGGGATAGAACTGAGTTAATGAATTTTTTGTTTGTTTTCAGTGTATTTGTTGAACTGTCCATTTATTTTCTTCATTTTGATTTCATCATAACTAAAAAATACCAGTAACTTTCTTTAATATGTTAATTTCCTTTTTCTGCATTGAATAAGATATACAAAGTAAATTATATTTTATTTATTGCAATATGTTTTATTATAAACCAGTTATAGTTTGTATTTCAGGAAGTGTAACGAGAAAGTTTCAGATTTTTGTGTTTTGTTCTATATAACAGTATTAAAAGCATTACTTCTGCAATTATCCTTTATATGTTTGGGGGGAAGTAAATTATTTATACTTATTTTGTATAGCACTTCTTAGTTGGTGTGGTGTTTTCAAATAACTTAAGGAAAGTCAGCTTTGTTACCTCCTTATTTATTGCCCTTTCATGTTCTGTCATATTCTAGAGCAAAGCCAGCTGTTGCTATTCATGTATATTGAAAAGTCATAATGTTAATATCAAGATTATGCAGTGATTTTTTTAAATCATCAAAGCAAATAGTGTGGAAAATAGTTAAATTATTTTATACCTAGGGTAGTTATAGGATAATGAAGAGAAATGACATTAGATTTTAAGTTGAGGTGAATATAATGTTCTAGAGGGAGTTGAGTGTTCCAAAAGGAACCACTGGCAGTCTTACATTTTTAAATATGCAGACATATATATATATATTTAAATTTTTGTAGTTGATGAACGGCATGACCTTCATTTAATGACTTCCCCCCCTTCCCCCCAGAAAGCTGAATGGATGACAACTACTTGCAATCATGCACTTTATGCAATCTGTGATGTATTCACCCAGTATTTAGAAGTACTCAGTGATGTACTTTTGGATGATATTTTTGCCCAGCTCTACTGGTGTGTGCAGCAAGGTAAGTCTGTACCAGATATGTGATTACAAAATGTTAAATGTGACCCTGATAATATATAAATTAATTACTTTTTTCTTTCCTAGACAATGAGCAGTTAGCACGATCTGGTACAAACTGCTTAGAGAACGTTGTTATTCTGAATGGTGAAAAATTTACCCTAGAAATCTGGGATAAAACTTGTAACTGCACACTGGATATCTTCAAAACCACAATCCCACATGCGTAAGAAGACTTTATACACTTTGCATTTTTATTTACATGTTGAATGAGTTTGATAGTGACTGGTGATTAAAAGTTTGATAGTGACTAGTGATTTGTTGTAGCCAAAATCCTTTTAAGCTTGTCTCAGTGTTGCATGGATTCAGATTGACTACAAACCATACTCTTATAAAACATAACAAATACCTGAATTAAATTATTTGGAAACCAAAACCTTTAGTCTAATTATCCAAAAGTTAGGTCATAATGAAACGATTCCACTGTCTTTTTTCTTTTTTGAATCGGCATCTCACTCTCGCCCAGGCTGGAGTGCAGTGGCACACTCACAGCTGCCCCAAGCATCGACCTGCTAGGCTCTGGCGATCCTTCCACCTCAGCTTTCCAAATAGCTGAAACTACAGGCATGCTCTACCACGCCTGGCTAATTTTTTTTTTTTTTAACTTGTTGTGGAGGTGAGGTCTTGCTAGGCTGTTCTCAAACCTGTGGGCTCAGGCAATCCCCTCACCTCGGCATACCAAAGTGCTGGGATTACAGACTTGAGCCACCACACCTGGCCCCACTGACTTTTTATAAAATTGTATTTATCCAGATCAAACCAAGCAATGGATTTGAATTGAAAAAAAGAAGAAAAAAAAAACCTCAATGTTTCAGTTACTAGGTTTAGTAATCTAAGAAAAATCTACTTGCAAATATTAACATTTTGTATTTTACAATTGTCAACTTTTGAGTTTGAAATTGACTGTGAGGTAGTTTTTATCAGTGGGGAAACTAAGATATAGTCTGGCTAAATGCTGCTGATAGCACCTGGATTAGTTGTAGGACAGACTGGAACTTACTTCCCAATTCAACCCTGGGGCTCTTTGGTCTGCACAGTTTTACCTTAGATATATTGTTTTTAAATCTGCAGGTAGAGTTTCTAAAACATCTTATTAAGTAGACACATGGGAATGAACTGGCACAAAACTGTATATGAAAATTATTAATTTGTCCAGATTTTTAAGCTTCATAAACTTTTTCTTGACATGAATTGTTTGTATTTTTTGATCTCCCTATAAATACTTAATCAGTAATAAATAGGAAGTCAAAAGAAATGCATCCCTAGAAAAGCAATCTCTAGGCAGGACTGCACCAAAAGGATACATAGTAATATTCTCTTTGGCCTATTTCTAATTATTGGATAATTTTTCTTATTTTTTGGTATAATTTTTTTATTGGAGCATGTGAGTTACTGACACATAATACATGTTTGTCAGTTTGTGACCTTTATGACAAAGTATGAATTCTTGCCTAGCTGTTGTCCTTATGAAATCTTTACAAAAACCACTTGGACTGTACATTTTTTTTTATAAGCACTGCTTCTGTTTTAATATATTGACTTTATACACTCAGGATAATACATATGACCTTAAAGATCATCTAATAAGCCTCTCTTAACAGAAAATGTTTGTACCAGAGCACTTTCCTTATTGAACTGAAGAAAGGTTTGCCTCTATCTGCCCCATTTCCCAGGAGATGCTGCTTCTCAGAAACAAGAACTTAGTCCTTAATTATCTTTTATGCCAAGTACCTAATTTAAGAGCGACAAGTTAATTTCTCTTTTGGACCAAATTTTGCTTTTATACATTAAAAAAATATATATTTCCCTGAGAACCTGCAGTTTAAATCTTAAAAAAAGAGAACATCTAAAGTGTCCTATGAATTTTGATTTTTTTAGTTTTAATTATTGAATTGTTTGGAACATCTCAAACTTTCAAAAAATCTTATTTTGGAAAATATTTGACAATACTTAGAAAAAGCAGCTTTAAAGTTTTTTTGAAATTTATCAGAAAATGTTTTTCTAATGTAAACCTGAGAACTTTTAAGCACATTAAATGCTACTTAATTACTTTCTAGAAGTACATATTTTAAACTTTTTACTAGATGTTTTCCTGGAAGTTGCTTTTAGCAATAGTCAAAGATGAATTATATTGTTTTGGTATATTCTTGTAACTTTCTTGTGCCCGTTTCAAAATATGGTGGGTATAATGTTTTGCACACCCCCCTGTGATTGGTGTGTTTTTGGAATCTTAAAGGCTCTTGACCTGGTGTCCTACTTGTGGAGACACTGCCCCCCTACCTCCATCTCCTGTGAGTGAAAAACCCTTGGTAAGTTTTAATAAATGAAGCATATTTAAAATTAATTATTTGGGTCAAATTCTTATATATGAGTTTCTTAACCCTTTGCTGCTGCTATGACAAAATACCTGAGACAAAGTAATTTATTAATGATAGAGATTTATTTTCTCACATTTATGGAGGCTGGGAAATCTAAGATCAAGTCACTGACAGGTTCTGTGTTTCATTAGTGCTGCTCTCTGCTTCTGGGATGACGTCCTGTTGCTGTGTTCTCATGTGGCAGAAGGTGGAGGGGCAAAAGTGGCCTAAAGTAGTTCCCTCCAGCTCTTTTTAAAGACACTAATCCTCATGGCCTAGTTACTTCCTAAAGGTTCCACCTCTTGAAACTGTTGCATTGTGGATTACATTTTCATCATAAATTTTGGAGAGGACACAAACACTCAAACCATGCAGTGAGTTCAAGTCTTTAAAAAGATACCATAAATCTATTATTCAGATTTCTCAGGTTAAATTTCATGGTGGTAAATTTCACAACTAAATTTAAGTGCCATGGACAGGATATTTTAAATTATTTTATAATATAGTACATAGAGCAAAACAATTATTCAAGGGTTGTTAGAGAAAAGTACCAGATTATGTAGGGATTTCTGTACCAAGCTAAAGGTATTGTTGGATCTTATTTTATTTAAGTTTTTTATTTTGATATAATTTCACTTTACAGAAAAGTTGCAAAAACTGTACAGGGAATTCTCACATACCTTTCACCTAGTGTATTGGTTTCCTAGGTCTGCTATAACAAATTACCTCAAATGGATAACTTAAAACAGCAGAAATTTATCGCAAAGTTCTTAAGACTAAAGATCTAAAATCAAGGAGTTAGCAGGACCACATTCCCTCCAAGAGCTCAAAGGGAAAATTCTTGTTTGCCTCCTCCAGCTTCTGGTGGCCATTGGCAACCTTTGGTGTTCCGTGGGTTGTTCACATATCAATATCTGCCTCCATCTAACCATAACCTTCCTCAGCTGTGTTGTGTGTGTGTGTGTGTGTGTGTGTGTGTGTGTGTGTGTGTATAATTGCCCTCTTCTTTTTGTTTTATGAGGACATCAGGGTTCACCCAAAATAAAGGATGATCTTATCTCTGACCCGTAATTACATCTCCTAAAGACCCTATTTCCAAGTAAGATAACATTTGCTCCTACCAGGGGTTAAGACTTGAACATATCTTTTGGGAGCCACTATTTAACTCACTAGGGTCTGTACTCTGGCACCTAAAAATTTATGGCCATCGCATGGGCAAAAGACATTCACTCCCATTCTAAGGTCCCCCAAAGTCTCAGCTCATTATAACATCATCACTGAGTCCAAAATCTTATCTATCTTATCAAGAGTTCAAAATCTCATGATTTCAGTCATCTAGATTAAGGAGTAAATAACACTCTGAATATGATTTATTCTGGAGCAAAATTTATCTCCATCTGTGGGCCTGTGAGCCAGAAATATGATACCTGCTTTGATGGATTGATTGGCTGATTGATTGAGTCGGGGTCTCACTCAGTTGCCTATACTGGAGTGCACCATCATGGCTCACCACAGCCCCAAACTGCTGGGCTCAAGCAGTCACCCTGCCTCAACCTTCTAAGAACTGGGATTGCAGGAGTGAGCCATCACACACTGCCTGAATAACTGCTTCTAAATACAATAGTGCGGGCTGAGCACAGTGGCTCATGCCTATAATCTTAGCACTTTGGTAAGTCAAGGCAGAGGGATCAGTTGAGGCCAGGAGTTCAAGACCAGCCTGGGCAACATAGACCCTGCCTCTACCAAAAAACATATAAATAAAATAATATAATAAATATAGTGAGACAAGCATAGGATAGAGGTTCTCATCTCAAAAAGGAGAAATTGCAAGGAGTAAAGCAGTTACCAGTCCTAAGCAAATTTGAAACTCAGCAGGGCAAATTTTAAGTTTCAAGGCCTGAGAATAATGCTCTGTGACTTGATGTTCTATCCTCTGGGCCCATGGTTTCTCCTTCTGGGTCATTTCTCCTTTTTCTTAAATGTTACCTAACATGTGTTTGCTGCCAAGTAGCTCTGTCAGCCCATTTTCTGCCTGTAGAATCCTAGAAGTCTGATAGCCTTTCTTAGTTTTATCTGTTTCTTGTCCTTTCAGTTGGGTTGGCTGTATGCTTACTGGTATATCATTCTCAAAATCCTTGTGAGTCTCCTATGTGTGTTAGGTTGAATTCATGTCATTAGGCAGGAGTGTTATCCACAGATCTTTCTCAATAACCCTATTCTGTTCCTAGCTTCTACTAAGAGGGTTGATTGAATCAATCAATCTCACACCTGATCTCTTCAACAAAAAGTTGTCTAACCATAGCCTTGACCTTCTGTCCAAAGCATGCTTTCTAAACAGTGAATTTCCTAATTTTAACGTCCTTTCAATCTTAATAGGCTAAACTCCTTCCAAATAATCAAATGCTAGTTCCTTTTTGCTTAACAGTTCTTTCCTCAATATATTTTATTCTTGCATTTTACTATAAGCAGCAAGGAGAAACCAGACCACACTTTTAACACTTGGAAATCTCCTCGGCTAGATATCTAGGTTCATCACAAAGCCTACTTTCTACTCAGCAGTTAACCATAATTCAGTCAAGTTTTCTACCATGTTACACCAAAGATCACCTTTCCTTCAGTATCCAGTAACATGCTTCTGATTTCTTTCTGAGACCTTGCCAGAAATACCTTTATATATTCATATTTGTACCAATAATCTATTCATGATCATACATGTGTTCTCTAAGATGGTAAAAGCTTTCTCTCACACATTTTGCTTGCTTCTGAATCCTCAGCAGAATCACATGCAAACTTGTAACATATGCCTCAGAACTCCTCCAATCTCTACTATTGCCCAATTCCAAAGCCACTTACATATTTTTAGGTATTTATTACAGTAGGACTCCACTTCATGCTATCAAAATCTCTATTAGTCAAGGTCGCAGAAATAGAACCAGTAGGAGAGGGTGTGTGTGTGTGTGTGTGTGTGTGTGTGTGTGTGTGTGTGTCTGCGTGTTTCAAGGAATTGACTTGTGAATATAGGTGCTGACAAGTTTGACATAGGGCAGGCAGCAAGCTGGGAACCCTTGGGCAGGAGCTTAAGCCGTAGTTCACAGGTAGGATTTCTTCTTCAGGAAAACCTGTTTTGTTTTTAAGGCCTTCAACAGATTGGAAGAGGCTCACTCAAGTTATTGAGAATAATCTCCTTTACTTAAAGTCTACTATAGATGTTAACCACAACAAAATACTTTCACAGCAACACCTTCATTAGTTCACGCATTAACCATTAGTCCTTTGACTTGAGTATTTGTCTTAAGTATATAGTACATTGGTACTGTGTTCCAGTCAAGTTGGCGTATAAAAGTAATCTTTATACCAATTTTCTCCAAATATTATCATTTTACTTCATTTGCTTTATCAGTCTCTCCTTCCTCCCTCTTTTCCCCTCATTCCCCTTCCTCCCTGCCCCCTCAGTTTTCTGAATTCTTTGAATTTGCAAATGTAATGCACATTCATCCCCAAAGTTGTGTTTGTTTTCTTGAGGGGAAAAAAAAAAGGGGGATGTCTTACAGAGCCACAGTAAATTAACAATTAGGAAATGGTCACTGAAACAATATTATTATTTAATCAATAGGCCTTATTCAAATTTCTACTCTTCTCTCAATAATACCATTGAATTTTAAACCCAGGAGGCCATAAGTAGCAGACTAATGCCACTGATTGGATTTATCTCCTACAACTTTTAAATTTTTTAATTGTCAAAAGTTAAAACTTAGATTTTAGAAAAATATATTCTGAATTGCTCTTGAGAACCATGACATCTGGCATACTGGGTCTGTGTTGCTCCATGACTCTTATCAGTAGACTTTGTCAGCACAAACTTAAGTACTTCTTAGGACATCCAAGAATGAGCTTGCCCTCACTTTAGATTTTTGCTGCCTCTGTTGTACAATGAAACATTTTGCAGAGTGGGCTTTGATGTCATCACAAATCAAATCCTAGCTCTGCACTGGTGACTTCTGGGGCCTTCAGATAAGGCTGGCATGTTGGGCCCATGTTGTTCCATGAAATTAAATTAAATCGGGTCAAGCAGGAAAAGCTGGCTCTGTGACCGTTCCTGCTCCTGGATTCTGAGTGGTGCACTCAGGGTGCTCCAAGAGCAGCTCACAGACTGGCTCCTCCGAGAAATGCAGCTCTCTGTCTCGGCATCTGGGCTCTTCAAAACTGATCATTGCTGCTGTTGCTGCTGCCACTTCTCATATCTGCCATTTCTTCTTTCATTCTACTTTCTTTGCCTTTCTCTTTCCCTCTTTACTACTTCAATTTTGCCAGTAAGTTGTGGTATTTTTTCATTGTCTTTCTCAGATGGATTATTTCTTGCTGTGCATTCAAGGGCTACTTGTTAAAAATTAAAAATAGAAAAATACCCTATAATGAAAAAATATTTTTTTAAACAGTATGGGAGAATATGAGATAAAAAGTATAAGTCTTTTTGATAATACCCACACCCCAAATCCAACTCCACCATTTCATTTAACATTGTGAAGTATCTCTTTCCGGCTGTTTTCTGTGCATTTACGTATATCTATTTAATACTAATTGTATGTAGTTTTTTAAAAGCTGAAATCTTACTTCGAGTCATTTTGTACCTGGAACATCTAGGAGATGTGTCCACATGTACACCATGATTTCTTTCATAGGGACTTCTTTTCTGCTAGAATGTACTTTTTCAAGGGGAGAAATGTGGGCATATTAGTTCTGGTGCAGAGCTATCCCCAAATTATCCTCATTTATTACATTGGTTAAAGAGAGAAATTGAGAAAGCAATATGCCTAGAATCAAAAATTTCTCTAATACAGAGGATGTTTTTTGAACCACCAATTTTGTGACTAGGTTTTGTGCATGTTTAGTTTTCTGGGAAGAATGTTTTAGAAATTAATCAGTGTCCAAAAGGGCCAGTAATGAAAAAATTTAAAAACCAGTGCTCTCAATTATCTTCAGTAAGACAATACATTTTTCATTCTGAAAACTGACTTATTTAGTGAAATATACTTACTAAAATACATGTTTAAAAGGAGCATTTTATAATGTTTATTTATTTATTTATTTATTTGAGTTGGAGTCTCACTCTGTCACCCAGACTGGAGTGCAGTGCTGCTCCTGGCCACTGCAGCCTCGACCTGCTGGGCTCCGGTGATCCTTCTGCCTCAGCCTTCCATATAATGTTTGTTTTTAAGCAGGGTCTTGCTCAGTTGCCCAGGCTGGAGTACAGTAGTACAATTATAGCTCATTATAGCCTCCAACTTCTTGGGCTCAAGGGAGCCTCCTTTGCTTCAGCCTTCCAAGTAGCTAGGACCACAGCCTCGCGCCACCACATCCAGCTAATTTTCTTTTTGTTAGAAACAGTCTTGCTGTATTGTCCAGGCTGTCCTCAAAACTCCTGGCTTCAAGTGATCCTCTTACCTCAGTCTCCCAAAGTCCTGGGATTACAGTTGTGAGCAACTACACACAACTTCCTTTTATAGTTAAAGCCATTATGGTCAAATAAGTATTGTTGAATCTATATAGTTTTTACTGAGAGTAAATACGTGTTCAACACTTGCACAGATGAATAAGAACCATCGTAACCATAATGATAAGGTTTTGACTTGTGTAGCGTTTTGCTGTTGAAAAATGGCTTCACATTTTTTTTCTTTCCAGCAGTTTTGTGGAACAGGTTTGGTATGCTATCCCCATATTATTTAGAACATGGTATAAAAGATTATAAACTATTATATTTTAAGTCCCAGTAAAATATTATTTTGATTGGCATGATTTCTGGTCACCCTTGCTTATCTTCCTTTCATAAACCCAGAAAGAGAGTGGTATAAGGTTGCTGCAGGCTGAGGCCTTTATTACGTCAGACTAACAGGGGCTCAGCACTCCTGAGACTGAGTTTTCTCTTCTAGGAATGTGCTGTTCTAACAAAATAAAGCTAGCAGAGTAATAGTGTCAGCTGCCATTTATTGTCTACCACTGTGTAGTGTTTTGGGTTTATTGTCTCTAGTTCTTAACCTGCAAGGAAAGTGTTAATTCTGTTTTCAGATCAGAAAGCCTCAGCTCCGAAAAAGATTTTCCTAGGTTACACTGGAGCTGAGTTATTTGGTGGGTGTGTTGGACCCCAGTGTCTAGCTTCTCTTCATGAGACCGTACTCTAAGCAGTCACCTTCACACAGTCACCTGCACACAGACTTTCTAGTCCCTGGTTCCTTGGGTAACAGCAGATCTTTTCCTTAACTCACCCCTGCAAAGCTGCCCTGGGCTCAGCCCCTCCTTTGTCAAGTGTGTGCTCTGCTTAAATTTCATGACACTCGTGGACATTGCTGATTAGTTTTCCACACAGTTGAAACTTAGCACTTTTATCTGTTGCTGTTGGGTGTTATCAGCCCTGAGCCCAGTGTCAGAAAGGAAGCTTTTCTCTGAAGACTGTCAGCGTTTCTCTGTGTACAGGTAATCTTAAATAATTTGTTCATTGTGTGTATAATTGTAATGTGTGGAATGTCATAGGGACATAATACAATTTTTAAAAACCATAATATAAAATTTTCATTCAGAAGTCTTATCACCATACTTACACTGAATTTTTTATTTTATTAGGATACAATATCACAGAAATCTGTCGATATTCATGATTCTATTCAACTGAGATCTGCAGATAACAGACAGCAAGCATCATTGGTTCCTGTATCTACTGTGGGTGAAGAAGTCAGCAAGATTAAATCTACAGCAAGTGAGTTATTTCTCTAAATAAAAATAAATTGTGTATCTTTATATAGGAAATAGGTGGCATTTTTGGTTTTACTTTTATTATTAACAAGCATATACTCTAACTGCTTGCGTCATTGCTTTTTTATTGTGTTTTTCCCAACTGGGACATCTCTTGACAGATAGATGCCCTCTTGGGGAGGGTCAAGGACCTATACCTGCAGTGTCTGCTTTTTCCATGTGCATGTAGTTGATGCTTGTGTCTTCCCTCTCCATCCTCTTCTGCATACCAGCCCCGTGTTCTCTATAAAATGGGATCTCACATGCCCTCCTCTACCATGTGCAAGAGGCAGTAGTGAAAGACCGCTGCTCTCTCAGCAGGAGCGCTGCTTTTGAAGCCTCCTCTCCACACTGCTTCCCACTTCGGTCTGCCTGTGCACATTTCCCTCATTGCTGCCCACACCCATAGCTCACCAGGTTCCTCCCCTCACCTTTTCACACAAAAATGGGAACTGCTTTTGTGAAGAATAAAGTGAACAATTTGGGTACATTTAGTACATTCCTGGTGTTGTGCAACCACTATCTCTGTGTAGATCCAGAACTTTTTTTTTTGAAGGCAGGGTTTATGGGGAGAACAGAAAAGCTCTCACAGTAGGAGGGGACTTCAGGGGGTTGCCCCAGAACGTTTTCATCACCCCTAAAGAAAGACCCGTAACCTTCATGCAGCCATTCCCTTTTCTTCCCCTTCCCAGTCCCTGGCAACCACCAGTCTGCTTTTTGTGTTTATGAATTAGCTGTTCTGGATATATCATAGAAGTAGAATCATATAAAATGTGACTTTCTATGTCTGGCTTATTTCACTTAAAATATTTTTAAGATTCTTCGTGCTGTAGCATGAATCAGTAATTCTTTTCTTTTTATTACTGAGTAATAGTCCATTGTATGTATATACCATGTTTTGTATTTCCATTCATCTGTTTATTTGGGTTTTTTTTACCTTTGGTATCATGAGTAGTGTTCTTATGAACATTTGTGTGCAAGTATCATTTGAATACCTATTTTCAATTGTTTTGCCTAGATATTTAAGAATGAAATTGCATGTGGTAATTCTGTGTTTAACTTTTTGAGAAGTGACCCAACTATTTTCTATAGCCAGCAGCTACACTATTTTTTTACATTCCCACCAGCAATTCCAGTTTTTCCACATCTTTGCCAACACCTTATTTTATTTTAGATGCTAGCTGTCCTAAGGGTGAGAAGTGGTATCTCATTGTGTGATTTTGATTTGCATTTCTATACTGATTAATGATGCCAGGCATTTTTTTATGTGCTTGTTGGCCATTTGTATCTTACTTAGAGAAATCTTTATTCATGTCTTTTGCCAATTTCTAAGTGGATTGTCTTGTTACATACTCCTGATAGACGCTTATCAGATATATTAGACCCTTATCAGATATACTAGATATACTAGACCCTTATAAGATATATTATTTGCAAATATTTATTTTCTCCCATTCTGTAAATCATCTTTTCCTTTCTGGGTAATGTCTTCTGATGTACTAAAGCTTTTTATTTTGATGAAATACAATTTTTAAAATTACATTGGTCATACTTTTGGTGTCATAGCTAAGAAGCCGTTGTCCAACCGAAGGTCATGAAGGTTTTTCCCTAGTGTTGGGGAATAAAAATTTAAGAGTTTTTTTTTTTTTAACCTCTTGTATTTAGATCATCAATCCTTTTTACTTTATTTTTTTCAGGGATTTTTTTTTTTTAATGTCACTGAGGCTGGAGTGCAGTGGCATGATCACGACTATGACAGGTCACAGCAACCTCAACCTCCTGGGCTTAGGCAGTCCTTCCATCTCAGCCTCCCAGTAGCTGGGACTACAGATGTGCACCACCATACCCGGCTAATTTTTTTTATTGTTTTGTAGAGACAAAGTCTCACTATGTTGCCCAGGGTGGTCTCAAACGCCAGGGCTCAAGTAATCCCTACCTCAGCCTCCCAAAGTGCTAAGATTAAAGGCGTGAGCCACCATACCTGGCCTAGGAATTTTCTATTAACCATAGGTGCTTACAGTTCTTGAGAGAAGACAGGCTTTGTTATCCTACTTGAAAGAAGCTTCTAGCTTCAGTCACTATATCTTACTAACATCTTAAAGGGCAGATAGGTGGTGGTGAATGGCCCATTGGCATTTTCATTCCAGTTCTCAGGAGAACAGAATGGTTCATGTAGGAATCCATGCAGCTTCAGTCCGCACCAAGAAAGGACAGAAGAGCTCCAAGACAAAGGTGTCTGCAGCCCTAATGGAAGCTCTTAACACCTGTGAGACGCTCGTGTTGTAATTGATAAGAATACATATCCTTAGACCCCCATCTACTCACTACTCTCATAGTCTCATTCTCTGCCCAAGACTGAGAAAGTTTTCACTTGGTGGTTTATCTGGAAATAACTTTTTTCCTGGGGCAAGGCCTCTGCTTTCCTGCTATCCTGAGCTGTGGGCTCACATTGCTGTCCTTATGCCAGGCATCTCATTCTCGCTTCCCTGGAAGTTTCTAGGTGAGGTTCATCCTGAGATAACTCAGGACAGATGGAGCTGGGGGGGAAACAAACATGGGGCCACCCTGGTCACATGAGTCCTTTCACTTGGTGGACAGGTTGTAGTTGCTCTATTGGGTGAGGAGGCCAGCTGCCATCTACTCTCTCCTACTCATAGAACACAGTCACAGCATGGACCTAGTACTAGAGTCTGAAGGGCCGCTGCCTCATGTTTTCTGCACACTTTCAGAAAACACCACTGCTCTGTCTCATTCAGTACCTACAGTCCCATGTAGTCAAAAACTGCTTAACTTTGCTCTCTGTCATACAGTGACCCAGTGAAATGGTAACTAATATAACCCTGGCAGTGCCAAGCTTTGTCATAAGTGAAATTTGCCCAAACCAATAATGTACCGAAACATGCTGCCTGACCCTTGCTCGGGAGACCCTAGTTAGGATTCTCACCCAGTTCTCAAAGGGCACCAGAAAGCATAGAGGGGCTCAGCTTCCCTGTTTTAGAGTACAGCTTTGTCTGCCAAACGTGGCATCTCTGGAGTGTCTGAAGCCCTGTTGGACTCTCTTAATACTGGTGAGACACTTGTGTTGTAACTGATGAGACTACATCTCATTAACCATCTACTGCTACTAGGAGTGTCTTGCCCCAGGAACTGAGTTGTGTTTATAACTTGAATGAAGAAGTGAACCTAGGCTGGATTGCAGTGGTGCGATCATAGCTCACTACATCCTTGAGCTCCTGGGCTCAAGCGATCCTCCTGTGTCAGCCTCCCAAGTAGGTAGGACTATAGGTGCTTGGCACTATGCCTGGCTTTTTTTTTTTTTTCTTTTTAGAAATATGGTCTCCCTATGTTGCCCAGGCTGGTCTCAAACTCCGGGCCTCAAGCAATCCTCCTCCCTTGACCTCTCAAGTAGCTGGGATGACAGGCATGAGCCACTGCACCCAGCCTTGTTTTTAAACTTGAGATCTAGTACTAAGAACCAAATGTTAAATAGAACAGCATTTCTAAAAAAAAGATCTGGAAATGAACCTTTATTAATGACCAATAAGAATAAATTGTACTAAATAAGTTATGTTTTATACTCCCCAAATACCAAAAACATGAACTTAACTTCACAAATTGGTGCCAGAGAATTTGTAGTAAAAGCCTTTTTTTTTTTTTCATTCTGAGTCTCACTCTGTCGCCTAGGCCAGAGTGCAGTAGCATGCTCAGGGCCACTGCAACCTCGACCTCAGGCGATCTTTCCACCTCAGCCTTCCTAGTAGCTGGAACTGCACGTGCCATCACACCCGGCTAATTTTTTATTTATTAAGAAGTCTTTCCAAGTTGCCAGGCTGATCTTGAACCCCTGGTTTCAGGCAGTCCTCTCACCTCTGCCTCCCAGAGTGCTGGGATTGCGGGTGTGAACTACTGTGACTGGTTAACATGCTTTTTACACAGTAGAAAGAAACTGAGGGGTTGTAAGCACTTGAGCCATTGCCCCAGACTAGTTAATAGACAGCACCCTTTGGGCAGTAGTCTGCCTTCTGGAAGACTCCCTAGAAAAGCTGTCCCTGAGAACTCGAGATCTTCCTCATGGTCTGGGGCTGCCTGGGGCCAGATGTCAGTGCTGCCACCCTGTTTCAGCATCTCAGTAGTTGAATCCTCTTTTATAACCTCGTGCTTAGCTAGCGTGGTCAATGAAATGGAACATTCTCCCATGAGTGTGTTCTTATAGGCTGGTGGATTGAAGAAATGCCCTGTTGAGCACATTTGCTCAGGCTAGAGATGTGTAGCCATGTTGTGACTGATGCGAATGTGGGGAGCACTTAGTTACTTTGCAGCTGGATTACTTTTGTAGTAATGCATTTAGCTTGACTTTTTATAGGCTTCTTTGCCAATGGACCCCTTTGAAAATAAGAGGTAATTTCAGCCATTACTGCTCCTCTGGATCCACATAAAACATGTGCGGGTCAGAAGTCTTGGCTGCCCCGCATTTCCTGTCCCATGGAGATCTGGCTCCTGTTGTTTTCTTACAGCACGGGTTTTTATAGTCCCTGTTTTAGAGGTCGGACTTGGGTTTACAGTAGATGCTCTTTAAATTTTAGGTTTTCATCCATTTTTTTTACATTTTATTCGAAAGTAACCTGAAACTTAAAAAACTTGCGGTAGAACCATCTTGAACATACTTACTATTCGAAATTATGTAGAGTATTTTTATTGAAAAAATTACTTTTCTAAGGCTTTTGTAAATACCCATTGAACTTTTACTGAGTAGTGCCTATGTTTAAAAGCAGTGTGTTCTTCTCATTGTGATGTGTGCATACGTAGTAATGTTTCCTTATTAACATTGTAATGTCATAGAAATTATAGAGGATTCAAAATAATTTTTTGTTTGCATGTGCATTGGGGGGGGTTTCCTCACAGAATTTCCAGAACAAAAATTGTTTGCTGCCCTGTTGATTAAATGTGTTGTGCAGCTGGAACTCATCCAGACTATCGACAACATCGTGTTCTTCCCAGCCACAAGTAAGAAGGAAGATGCGGAAAACTTAGCTGCAGCCCAGGTGAGAGAATGGCAGGACAGCTGCTTTTTTTGGGTGTGAGTGGGAAGTTCGCTGTATCAGTCTAGGCTTTACCGTAGATGTAACTGGGGGGTCTTCATCATATAGATGTCTTTTTAAGCCCTGACCCTGGATGTCATCATGAAGTCATGAGTGTAGCTAGAACAGAGAGGAGGGTCAAGGACTGAGTCACGGGGACCTCGTCCTCTGTAGCTCCTGGAGGTAAACCAGCTGATAGAGACTAAGGACGAGAATAATGGGGGCTGGGGAGCAGAGTCTGTTGTCCTAAAAGTCAGATGAAGAAAGTGCTTTAAGAAGGAAGCGATTGAGTGCTATTAAGTGCTCTAGATAGGTCATGTGATGTTCCATCTGTGAATCGCCCTCCATTTGGAGGATTTGGGCAACCTTGACAGTGTATTTAATTTTAAGACTGAGGGCAAAAGTATCGTAATGAGTCCAAGAGAGGAGAGGATTTGGTGATGGTAAATGTTGACAAATGTCTTGAGTTTTGCTGTGAAGGGGCAAAGAGAAATGAAGTGGTAGCTGGAGGAACGTGAGGGGGTCAAGAGAGGAGTTTGCTGTGTTTTGTTCTCTTGAGTGGTGATGTGGCAGCATGTTCACTGGTGAGAGCTTTCTAGTAGAGAGAGAAAGACCAAGTGCAGGCAAGAAGGGCAGTTGCTTGCACCATAATTTCGAGTGACTGAGGATGGCACCACATGCAGAGTGGGAGCTGCATGGGGTAAAAACCCAGAGAGCTTCCGGTCACAGCAGGGGAGGGTCAGGGATATGGGTCACGGATGCAGGAAGGTTGGTACGTTTCGTGTAGGAGCTTGTGGGAATCTCCTCTGCTGCTTCTGGTATGTTCCTGAGATGGGAAGAAAAGTCATCCACATGTGAGGGTGGAAAGAGCGATTTAGGCATTTGAGAAGTGGAAACACATGTTGGTTGTCCAGGAACACGGACCAGGCCAGTTCACACGGGGACTAGGGCTGCATCGGCGGAGTGCTGGGCAGCACCAGGGCCCACAGGGGGAAGAGAAGCCGTTCTGTTCTCTCCAGTCGTGGCTGTGTGGGTCAGACGTGGAGTGCAGTCTTGCTCACTAGTTGCTACAAAGAGGAGTTAAGAGATGAGAGTAATTAAAATCATGTGCATGGACTCCACACTGGGTGAGAGAAGGGAGGGAGGATGAGGGGCTGAAGAGTGCAGGACCGGTGGGGAGTTGGTTCCAGCCGGGGCTAGGCTCAGGGGAGGCACTGCTTGGGGACGCTGGTGCATTTCAGAAGGTCAGCCTTCCCCTGCTTTCTGTTAAGATCAAGCACATTGAGTATCTATGGCCTTCTTATGAAATTGGTCTTTGGGGAACGTTGTGTTCTAAATTTACTAAAATTATCGTGTCTGTGTATATATGCTGTGGTGGTTTGTTTTCCAAAGAGAGATGCGGTGGACTTTGATGTTCGAGTTGATACCCAAGACCAAGGGATGTACCGCTTTTTAACATCACAACAACTTTTTAAGCTGTTGGACTGCTTACTAGAGTCACATAGATTTGCAAAAGCATTTAATTCCAACAATGAACAGAGAACTGCTCTGTGGAAAGCAGGTAAGCCACACCGGCCTTTAACATTCACTGTTGAGGGATGTGGAACAGATATGTACGTTTCTCAGAACTCACTGATTGTCTGCCTTAGGTCTGTGCGTGTCACTGTAGGTACTTTGACCTTCACAATAATAATGATAATAGTTAATCTAATAACCAAGTCTTTTTCTGGGCTACAGAAGGCCAGGTAACTCGTTGGGTGGATTTGCTCCCTCCTCATTCAATCCCGTTAACTTTTATTTGACCAGTTGTTCTTCCATCCTGTTTGCTCCTGCTTGGGTCTTCCTGTCGACACAGCATAATAAAAGCTTTCCTTTTATGAAGAAAAAAGTGTGTGAAGGTCCCACACATAAAACCTGGCTTGTGTATTTGAATGACTTCTCTGTGTTCGCTGAGAGTTGTCATAGCTCAGAATGGAGCTGACGGTATTGGGTTGACAGGTATATTTGTTTTAGAACAAGTTAGAAATTTTAAACAAAAAATAAGCTGTATTATAAACTGACATTGTTAATTTTTTTATTTAAGAAATAGAGCCAGGCACAGTGGCATGTGCCTGTAGTCCCAGCTACTCAGGAGGCTGAGGTGGGAGGATTACTTGAGCCTAGGAGATTGAGGTTGCAGTGAGCTGTGATCACACCACTGTACTCCAGCCTTGGCCAAACTGCGAGACCCCAACTCTTAAAAAAAATTACTCGGTGCTCTTTAGGTACAAAGAGTGCTAGGAGAGTGAGGGATAACAGAGTAAGGCAGAAAAGGATACAGAAGGGAGCTGACGTTTATTGAACATCAAACGCTATCAAAACACTGTATCAGGTGCTTGTGTTTGCTTATTTAAAATGGCTTTGTTCGTTCTTCTCCCTTTCAACCTACTTTTCAGAAAGAGTAGTCTGTATGTACTTTTCCCTTTTCTTCAACTCAAGTTGTGGCCACCATTCGAGTGGGACTATTCCTGCAGAGGTGACCAGAGGCTCCTTCTTTCCACACTCACTGGACCCTTCAGACTTTTGGCAGTTAAAGCCATCTCACCCACGGGTGCCAGCCTGTTTATCTGGGAGCCCATCTGCGAGCAGAGCAGCCACGCCATCTACAGCTTTGTCTGTGGGGCTTCAAGTGCAGTTTCCCTTGAAGGGATCCACTTTTCCAGCCATGAGTTGTTTTATAACCCCAGCTTGAAAGGGAAGGGACTTCTCAGCGTGGTAATCACCTTCCTGAGCCTGGGCGCAGGCTGCTGTGGCCAAGGCAGCTTTGCTTTGTCAGCAGCAGTTGCCCACGCTAAATGCACACGAGATGTGCCTCTGCACAGGTTCTTCTGCCTTGGTATATGGTGCCTTCCCAAACTCATCCGAGAAACTTCCCCTTTCCACAGGCTTCAAAGGCAAGTCCAAACCCAACCTTCTGAAGCAGGAGACCAGCAGCCTGGCCTGTGGGCTGCGCATTCTCTTCCGGATGTACATGGATGAGAGCCGGGTTAGCGCCTGGGAGGAGGTCCAGCAGAGGCTTTTGAAGTAAGACTCTCGGCTGACTTCTGCATTTGACCTGCATGAAGCAGGAAAGGAAGGGGGCGCTGGCAGGTCCAGGCAGCTAGCTGAGCTCTGGGGCCTGGATACTTGTTTCACAGAGAGATTGTGAAAGTTAAATAATCTTACAGGCATATGCGCTTTGTACAACTGATGACGTGTGAACAGGTCATATCTAGCATATGGAACAAAGGAGAAAGCTTTGCTTCTTAAAATTTCAAGCTATAATATCATTTTTAGGTGTTTCTGGTGCCATAAAATAGTCTCGTTTTTATAGGACAGTCATTTATGAAAGTGAAAATTTGCCTGCCTGCATTTGGTTTGAAAAAATATTTCAGGTTTTTCTTGGTGTTTCTTTTTTCTGTTCTCCTTAAAACTAAAATATAAACTCAGGCTAAAGATGAAACATGCCATTCAGAAAGAATAGTGCTATCTGCATTGTATTTTGTATCTACTTTTGAGGAATTGCTATTCTAAGACCAGTTAAGTACATTTAAAAATTTTAAGAGAACGGGTGATTTTAAGAGACTGGGTGTCTCTGTTCTCCCATTTTATTAACAAGACTATCAAGACCCAGAAGGGCCTAAGGCCTCACAATCAGGGAAGGGGAAAGAGCCACTCAGATTTCACGAGCTTGTGCCTGTGCTGCCTACCGAATGGAAGTTTTGAATTCAGTGAAACTTAGAAATTGTGGGTTTCCTGATAAGTTGCAATGGCTTTTTAAAGTCTGCTTGGTTTTCTTCCTATCTTGAAAATCAGATAAATGTTTTTGTTGACACCCCAGCTAGTGTAAACAGATGGGCTAGAACAAGTTCTTTAATAGTGTTCACAGCTGTATTCACTGTTGTTCTTTCTCAGAATAAACCGACCAGCAGGCATGCAAAGTAACATAAAAGGAAACCTTTTCTTTTGCAGTGTCTGCAGTGAAGCACTAAGTTACTTCCTCACTCTAACATCAGAAAGCCATCGGGAAGCCTGGACTAACCTGCTGCTGTTGTTTCTAACTAAAGTTCTAAAGATAAGTGATAACAGGGTAAGTAGGAGGCTTTGTATCTGCCTGGCATCTCTGGCCTGACTGCATGGTGAGTATGAGTCCTGAGGCAGGGAAGCTGGGCCCCAGGCACTGCCCAGGAGGTCTCCGAAGCAGGCCAGGTGGCAGTCTTCTCCCTCCTGACCCAGCTTTGTTATCTAATTAGCGATTCTCTGGGGGATTCAGTAGGAGAGGATGCAGAATCCCTTGGGACCCTTGGGCAAACTCCCAGGATCCCCCCACATGGCAGTTCTCGTGCTGACCCTGGGAGTCTCCCCTCCTGCCCCATTCTGTTAGCTGCTTTCCAGCCACCTTGCAGCCTTGCAGTCCACCCCCTGCTCCAGGCTGCCTCTGTCCCTGGGCCTGGGCGCCAGCTGCGGCCATTCCTTTGGCACATTTAGTGGTTTCATGCAACCCAGAGTCCCTAGTGAGTAGGCCATGCGCTCATTTTATAATGTTAAACCAGTAGAAGTAAAGACAAAATACAAATATATAATTATAAATGCATGTTTAAAGTTTTCAAAAATGTACATGTTACCCTTGAAAAAATAGGGCAACTCACAGCTCACGTATAAGGAAACGGGTTGTTCTGTTGTGACACTGAATAGATTTTAAAATGCCTAGTCTGGTGGCCTGATATGTGCAACCATGGCACCCATGGAGGCAGATGCTCATCCCAAGTCACATGCCTTGTGCCCAGATGCGTTTCCATGGGACTGACGGGCTGTGTAGAGCTTGGAGAAATACCTAAGGCCACCAGCAGCAGTGTGGCCAAGACGGTCTTGAAACCCTCCTCTTACTCCACAGCTGGCTTTCTCAGGGTATGTCCTACTGCTTCCTTGCATCTTGAGGGGTGCAGAGGGTAGGAAAGGAGAGAGAATAGGCTACAAGCCAGTTTTCAGAGATACAGAAACTACAGCAAAAGTAGTGAAAGCTTGTAAGTTGAAAGCCAGTTTTCAGAGATACAGAAACTACAGCAAAAGTAGTGAAAGCTTGTAAGTTGAGCGATGCATATGAAGTATACATAGCTTTGCCTGGAGAATGTTTAATTGCAGTATAAGGTGGAATTTTCCCTAAAACTTAAAATTTTAATTTAACAAACAAAAGATGTAATTCCAGTAACCCATCTTATAAAAAGTTAACTTTAGCTTTTTGCTCATTACCCAGGAAAAACAATGCTAAGTGACTAGAAGTTTGTCAAAGATACGAAATGTTTTTGAAAATGTTTTTCAAAGTCAGGATATAGAACTGAGTAGTGTTTGTATTAAGCGAATCTCTAGATACTTCTCAAACTCTGGGTTCCATAAGCACAGAATCACAGCCTGATGATACAGACTTCCTTTCTTCTGTCTTCTGTGATCAGGGCATGCCCCAAAGTGGTTAGACTCCATTGGCAGTTTTAGGCTCTGTAGTTTGCAGTGCACACACTAACGGAGAATTCATTTTCCTCCCAGTTTAAAGCTCATGCATCATTCTACTACCCTCTCTTATGTGAAATTATGCAGTTTGACTTGATTCCTGAACTTCGTGCTGTTCTTAGAAGATTTTTTCTGCGAATTGGAGTAGTTTTTCAGATATCACAACCACCTGAACAGGAACTTGGAATAAACAAGCAATGATGAGAACTTAATATTTTTCTGTTGGCGTTTACATCCCTCTGCTCTTTAAAAGGACCCCGGAGCTGAGGTTTCCTACCTGAAAAGTGATTTCTCTGAATTGCAGTGTCTGAGAGTTACTGATAAAGATGTTTAGAACCATCACTCCAACTTGCAACTCTCTAGTCCCCTTAGTATTCTGGTGGATTCCATGTGTCATGCTGGGCTCATGTTGAGCAGAATCCTGTTTAAATGGTGTCAGCTAAGGCTCATGGGCCCTCCCTGTCCTCCATGGCAGGAAGAGCCCCACATATTTTTGGCAGGTGTGGAAGTAAAACTTACCCAAAGAGCTATAGATGTAAAGATTGGACTTCTACAAGAAGTACAACTCAGGAGAGCTGTATTTTGAAGGATAAAATGTTTATACCTGGGGAGTGGGGGGAGAAGAAATTATTGTTCATGGTAAAAAGATATTTAGCAACTATGGTATTCTTACTCTGAAGATTTTTGCACACTCAGGCTATCTGAGATACTGGTAATCATCCTTCTGTGAAAAATGTACAGAGATGCAGGTCTGTAATATAAAAATCTTAAACATTATATAGTTCTTCCTGCACTGTTTTATTTCTTTATTTTCTTATTCATTTGCTAAATACCCATAATATTTTGTCAAATGCACTAAAGATTTGGGTTGAACTTTTTTTTATTTTGTGGGGATTTTTAGTTTTGCCCTTTTGGGGGGGTGGTAATTTTGAGGCTTCAGTATACCCAGAAGTTGTTGTGGTTGTCAAGAACAACAACAGGGAACAAAAAAAGGTAGAAAATATCCCTGCTGACAATAACTACCTGTAAAATATTTCTCTTAGGGCTTCTAAAGATGAGCCGTTAAAATAGAATATGATTCTTCATGAACCGAAACTTGAATCACTGCAAAATGAACCTAGTTGCTGTCACTTTTTCTTTTGGGTGGTGGGGCTTGATGTAGATTTTACTCTATGTACAGAATCTAATGTTGAATATATTAAAATAACAAATCTGGCATGGTTTGCGGAGGTTAGACTTACTGGAAATGTATTCATACTGTGAATTGTGCTCTGATGGTTGAAAGACAAGATTGTCAAGCATTCCGTATTAACAGTGGATGTAGAAAATTTTTTCAGATGGATAAAATGTATATGGTACAGATGTAAAGTTTTCTATGTAAAAAATTCTGTACAACTTTCTGTACAATATTGATTCTCATCTGGCATATTCTAATCAGGTTATAGGTCAATAAAGTTTTTGAATTATTTCATCAGTGCAGTCAAAACCTGCATAACCCACAGCCCCATGTTTCATTTATTCTATTGTTTTTTCATAAAAGCCAAACAATTATGGAAAGGAGGTTTTCGGCCAGAACTACAAATTCAGCATTCTTTTGATCTGATATTTTCTTTCCAGCTTCTGTCATTAGATCCTGCCTCACACACTCTCATCGTCAAGGAGAGTCATCATTTTAAGTATTTTGTGTATTTATTAATAACCCAGCATAAATTATCCTACACTATTTGAATGCTGAAGAGCTAAGGTTTTCTTAGGAGCAGTTTGCAATGATACTGTGTGTCCTAGGAGTCAGTTCATGTTGTGTCGTACAAGACATCGGAAGAAAACGGAACATGTCAAATCACTTAAGGGGGTTGAGTTAAAAAACAGGAACAGTATGGTCTTTACTGTCACACTTCTCTTAGTTCATGAACAGATACTGAACCATTAATGTGTTTATAAGTGCACTGTATTTATTACACACAGCTCCGTCCAAGCCCAGCTGGATGCTAGAGCTGGGAGCCGCCTTGTCTAAGGGTACATGCTTCGCACGACTGGGAAGTTTAAAAGAAAATCTTTAGATTAGAAAAATTGAGTATAAAATTCACGTGCAGCAAAAACTCAAAATATATCAGAAATTTATGGCAAACTCATCTGATCTTGTCTACTATTCCTACTTGTCTACTATTAATTATGTCAGAGAAAACATTCGACAAGCAGTGCTTAGAAACTGTTCTCAGCTGTCATGGGGCTAAAGATTCTAATCCAAGTCAGAATTCTTTTCCAGGATTCGAATGAATCTCTCCCTTTTCAGAGTATCATTTATTGAGTGATTAGAAGAACTAACTCATTTATCCAAGGGTTGAGTCCGAAGTGGTGGAGCAAAGATTCGGTCTTTGCCCTTGACCCCTGAATATTTTTACCTCTCTCAACCTCTGGAAACCTGGTTAGAAAGCTCAAGTCTAATTAAAGTAAGAAACAGACATTAGTAATAAAAATAAAAATTTATTTCTATTAAGAAGTAGTTAAGTCATATAAATTAGTAACTTAAGACAACATCTTCATTGGCACAAAAATAAAATAGACGTGACATTTAGTGTATGGCTCAAGGGAATAAAATCAGTTACGGCTCCCATCATTTCTACTGAACCAGTAGCTATAAATGGTATGAAAATAACTAGCACATTTGATTTCCTCATTACACAGCAACTGGAATGATCACAGCTACAACAGATTTGATTTTGAATAACAATGGCAATTGTGCATGTAACAAAATTCTGGTTTTACAGTACTGGCAAGACACTAAGTTTTATTTACCTTATCTTAATGACAAGCAGAATTTAATATAATGCACATATGGTAGTTCAATCGAAGAGTTCCTTCCCACTCTGACTTATCACAAAATTGTGCAAAAATAGTTCTATACAATTCTATTATATAAACCAATCATCATGGAAAAGGTACACTTGACAGATGGAACAAAAGTAATTAACTTCCAGGTAGGGCCTAAAGGAGGACATATAATATTAAAGATACAGATTCACCAATCCTTTCACCTTAAAAGGCACAACTGCAGCTTTATTTCAGCCATGTGCGGTCGACAGGCCCTGCCAACTCCAAGTGCCTGGTTTTCCAGGAACCTGGTGCTGCTCCCGGTTCAGCTGCTCGGCCATGAAGCGCTTCAGCGTTTCGGACGTGCCGGGGCGGAGCCAGGGCTCAGTGGCTACAGAGTTTGACCCATGATCCCCCACAAGTTCCATGATGTCGTCAGGGTCAACCAGTGAACTCTCGTCATCTACAGGAAGCAGAGACACACGACTCAGATAACAAAGGTGGCAGATGGGCGATGGGAACACAGGTCTTCTATAACACAACTCACTACAACTCGCCTTTCCCACAGTATTGTGTCCTAAATGGTATTGTTTTTGTTCACCCTCTATTTTAGAGGCGGGAAGAGGCTAATCTGGTGAAACAAAAATATGATCAAATGAGTAAGTTGACTCCATGGCACTAGCAGCCAGAGAATCCGGATTCTGTGTTTATCAAAGGGATTCAAAGTATTCAAAGGTGAGGCTCCACCAACATTAAGTTGACTTGGAGGAACGTAGGCGATCTTACTTTGTGACCTCCGACATCCTAATGATATACATAAAAGTGTTTTTTAATTTAGCAAGGTTTGGGGAATACATTGCTATAAGAAAATTAAGTCATTCGGGGAAAGCACTAGTTAGGATGAAATTACCTCCAGTCTTACACCTCATCTAAGAAGGTCACATCATCAACTCAAAAAAAAAAAAAAAAGGTAGCTCTTTATGTAATTGAATTTGTACTCAACTTCATATCTGTATTTTACTTATTAGTAGATATAATAATAGGAAAATCTGTCTTCCTACCCTGTGATGTCAGTTTTCTTTTTTTTTTTTTTTTTTTTTTTTTTAATTATATCCGCTGGTCTGTGAAGATTAGCCCAGCAAAGGAATATGTGCAATCAGTTTAATGTGCAATCAATCCACATCGGACCAAAAAGTTCCTGTGTGAAAGGACAATGTTAAAAACAGTTTAGATAGTAAAAAACCTTCTGAGTAAGTAGATTCTTAAAAATACTCTGTCTACTGTCAAATATACTCACTCCTGTTAAATATTAATTCAGTTTGATGGTTCTAAAAAAAAAACTGAAAAGAAAATGCCTTTCAGCTAGTTAGAAGACATCCCATCCCACTATTCCACATTTTTCCAGGTATGTTAGGAAAATACTGTCCATCAGTTTTACCATATCTGCTGATGTTTGGTATGGAATTATCACTATCAGAACACATCATACCTTCACTGCTCAGAGTTATATGAGTACAGTTTTAAACTAACAGTCTTAAATGTAGGATTCTAAGAATATCTTAAGAAAACTGCTATTAGATTATTGTAAGGTATCTTAACAAAGTCTGTTTTCCAAATAGACCACCCTATTTTCTAAAATGAATATTATTATTACTAATATGAAATTGTCTCATTATCCCAGAATCTAACTAATAGCACTGATATTTTTTTAAAAGGGCGGGGGGTGGGGGGAATAGCCTAGGACTAGCAGGGGAACTCATTATTTACCTATAGAATCTTCCTGCCTAGGCTCCACCTGCGAATCATGAAAGTCCACTCACAATGAGAAGACTAGCTATGGTGTAGAAATACAAGAAAGAAGGTAAAAACTGTCTTTGTAATATACGGATTTGCAACAGATGTGCCATTTAAAGGACTCAAAATCTTAAAGTTAACTTCTGGTCATCTCTCACCTCATTAAGTAAAAATACTATACCATACTAATCAGCATTTTCCCTGCTGAAACAAAAACTATTGTATCTGTTTAGAATCCACTCTAACATGGGTACCCTCCTCTCTGGCAGAAAAAAATCGGATGCACACTTAATCCTGAGCTCTGATTGTGCTGCAAAATTACTGCATCCTGGGCCATACAGCTCAAGGGACTTCACAACTCCGATGCCATCTATTGCCAGCCACCGGTGGAGACTTCCCTGTAAGCAGGCTGATGTGCTGACACAGGCTTTGTTGTAGGCCATTCAGTGCAGCCAGTTACCTGTATGGATAGGTTTATGCTCAAGTTCATTCAGTCTTCGCATCCGTTCCTCATTTCTCATTCTGAGCTGATCCACATTTATGCTGGATACAGACTTTAAGGAGAGACCATCTGGTGGTACATTAGGACGGCTGTTATCCTATAGTTAGAAAACAACATCAGAAACGGTCATTAACATAAAATGTGTTAGAATGAACTGGTAAATCAAAGCATCATCTTGCCCTCTGTAAATGTACATGGTGATGAGAAAAACAAAACAAAATGAAAATGTGGAGTATTTATCACCTGACTCCTGTGTTTACCCATGCAGGCTCAGATGACTTAGTCAAGAATAAGCTACAGCCTTCATGATGACATAAAAATGCAGCCAGTCTGGATAAAGCTTGGAAATAACAGGACGCAAAAGAAAAAAACAACAGCAGGGGCTAAGACTCAGTCCAGCTACAGTAATCATGATACTGTGGTATTATACAAGTCAACAATAAAAAGCTCAATTTGAAAATGGGCAAAGGATCTGAATAGACATAACTTCTAAGAAAATACACAAGTGACTAATAAGCACGAAAAGATGTCCAACATCATTAGGGAAAGGCAACTCAAAACCACAGTGACACCACTTCACACCCCCTGGATGGCTATAATCAAAAAGACAAGTGTTAGCCAGGATATAGAGAAACTGAGCCTTCTATGCTGCTGGTGGGAATGTGCCAAAGAGTGCAGCTGCTTTGGAATACAGTCTGGCAGTTCCTCAAGATGCTAAATGTAGAGTGAATGTATAACCGAATAATTCTAATCTTAGGTATATACTCAAGAGAAATGAAAACAATAAAAATCCTGTACATGAACATTAATAGCATCATAAAAAGCCCAAATATCAATTGTTGAATGAATAGACAAAATACAATACCAAAGTACCAAGGACTCCAAAGCCTATACTTTTTACTGGCTGTATTCTAAAAAGCAGCGGTGAGAGCATGGGTTTGAATCCTAACCTTGCTCGTGTGACTTTGGGCAAGACATCTAACCAAAATGGAGATGATGCCCACGTCATAGAGTTAGGTCATTATGAGGGTATCACAGATTTTCTGATGGCATCAGCTGTTTCTTGCACCTCTTCTGAAATCCCTGTGTTCTTCAGGGGGAAAAAGAAGGCTGGGATGCAGAGCTACTTACAGCCCCAGGAGAAAAACATTATTACCTGGAGGAAGCCAAAGCAGCAGAGTTTAATGAGCCACCAAGGTCATCCAGCTAAGTGGTGGTAGAGCCTACTAGGCTCAGAGCCACATCTGCCTCATTTCAAGCGAGTGCTCTTTCTTTCGCTAGACACCACACACATTTGACCAAGGTCAGAACCCAGACCTCTCAGTCTTAAACTGAAGAGGGAGGACAAAAGAAGACATCTCACACACACCAAGTCCAGTCCTTTCCATCTGTTCCTCCGGCGCTCCCTCGCAGAGGGCAGCTGAGATGACGGAGGGAAGGCATCGTCCTCGATGGCAGGATACGTCTCGCCGTAAGCACCTAAAGGGCCACAGGAGGGAGGAGTCTCACTACCATTTCAACTCTCAACCAGTGCTAAACCAAGAAGCTGGGTTTTTTTTATTGCTTTACTAAGATTTTACACAAACCATGAAATAACACTGTAAGGGTTTACAGTTAAGGGATATTTAGTAAATTTACAGCGTGTGCAATCATCACTAAAACCTAGGCATTTCCATCACATTAAACAGCTTCCTTGTGCCCAATAGCAATCACTCCCCACTCCTACCTGCTGGCTTCAGGCAACACTGATCTGCTCTGTCTCAACAGATTTACCTTACCTAACATTTCACATGAGTGGAATTCTACAGCATAATGTTTTGTGACTTTTCACTTGGCAGTAGTATGTTTTAGGTTTATCTATGTTGTACCATGTTTCAATAATACTCTATTATATGGATACATCACCCTTTATCAACGCATTTACCCCCTGACAAGTATTTGCTAGTTGACAGACATGAATAATGCTGCTATGAACATCCACATACAAGGGTCCATGTGGACATACGTTCTCATTTCTTTGGTGTACATCATAGAAATGAAAAGTCTGGGTATTGTGGTCAGCTGCTCAGCCTTCTGAATAACAATTTTCAAAAGTGGTTATGCCACTTTACATTGCAGAAGTTCTAGGGTCCCTACATCCTCACCAACACTTTGTGTGTCGACCATCAGTCTTTTTGGTTACAGCTATTCTAGTGGGTCAACAGCCTATTTGGCCATGGGGTTGAATAGCCTACTACATGTACAGAGTTTTCCCCCTACTCTTTCTTTTGAAAAAAAGCATACCTAAAGAAAAGTTACAGTAATATAATGAATACCCAGAATCACCATTTGTAACTTTGAAAATGTCTTTATATATTTTGGGGACCATATAATTGATATTCAAAATCTCCAAATGTATATATTTTATAGTTTTAAAAATACATTTTATTGAATAAGGTATGAGGCTTTCTATAATTCCAAATTAAGTTTTGGGTTCTTCCATGTCTTTTAATGGCTTAATAGCTCATAACTTTTTAGCACAGATTAATGCTGTGTTGTCTGGATGTACCACACTTTACCCACTCACCTCCTGAAAGACTTTTTTTTGGCAATTACGAATAAAGCTGCTATAAAAATCAGTGTGCAGGTTTCTTTATAGACAAGTTTTCAGCTCCCCTGGCAAATATCAGAGAGTGCAACTGCTGCACTGTATGGTAAGAATATGTTTATTTTTGTAAGAAACTGCCACACTGTCTTCCAAATGGTTGTACAATTTGTACAATTTTGTGTTCCCAAAAGCAACAAATGAATGCTCCTGTTGCTCCATATCTTGCCAGTGTGTCATTATTTTAAATGTTGCCAGTCTAGCAGTTGTGTGACAGTATCTTGTTCTAATTTACAGTTCCCTAATGACATATGATAGCATCTTTTCATATGCTTTCACCTGTATGGTGAAGTGTGTGCAAGTCTTTTGCCCGTCTTTAGGGTTTTGTTTTTTCATTTTCTAATTGTTTAGTTTTAAGATTCTTTGTGGCTGGGTACTTTGAGGGACCAATGTGGGAAACTGCTTGGGGCCAGGAGTTCAAGACCAGCCTAGGCAACATAGTGAGACCCTATCTCTACCCCCAAAAAAGGACCAGGGATGGTGGTGTCTGACTACTCGAAAGGCTGAAGTAAGATGGCTTGAGCCCAGTAGTTTAAGGCTGCAGTGACCTATGGTCATGCCATGGCGCTCTAGCCTGGGAGACAGAGCAAGACCTTGTCTCAAAAATTTTTAATAAGTTGAATTTTTGATAAGTCTTTTATGAATTACGTCTTTTACAAATATTTTCTCACAGTCTGTGTCCTGTCTTCTCATTCTTTTGACAGTGTCTTTCATGGAGCGTAAGTTTTTAATTTTAACAAAGTCCAGCTTATTTCTTTCATGGATTGGTTCCTTTGATGTCGTATCTAAAATTTAGTCATCATCATAGCAAAGGTCATCTAGATTTTCTCCTACGTTATCTTTTATGAGTTTTATAATTAGGTCTGTGATTCATTTTGAGTTAATTTTTGTGAAGGGTGTTAAAGTCTGTATCTAAATTTATTTTTTCACATGCAAATGTCCAGTTGTTCCAGCACCATTTGTTGAAAAGGCAATCCACCATATTGCCTTTTTTCCTTTGCCAGAGGTCAGTTGACTATATTTGTGTGAGTCTATTTCTGGGATCTCTATTCTGTTCCACTGACATATTTATTCATTCTTTCACCACAGCCATGCTGTCTTGACTACAATAACTTTATCATACGTCATGAAGTCAGTGTGACCACCCTCTGACTCTGTTCTTCTCTAAACATTCTGTTAGCTATTTTGGCTCTTTTGCCTCTCCATATAAACTTTAGAATCAGTTTGTTGATATAATAACTTGCTGAGATTTGTACTGAGATTGCATCGAATCTATAGATCAAGTGGAGAAGAACTGACATCTTGACAATATTGAGTCATCCCGTCCATAAACGTGGAATCGCTTCATTTATTTAGTTCTTCAATTTCTCTCATCAAAGTTTTGTTGTTTTCTTCAGAACAGATCTTATATTTTGATAGATTTATACCTTATGTTTTGGGGGAGAGGAATGCTTCTGTAAATGGCATTATGCTTTTAATTTCAAATTCCACCTGGTCATTGCTGGCATACAGGAAAGTGACTGACTTTTGTATATTAACCTTGTATCCTGCAACCTTGCTGTAACTGCTTAGTAGTTCCAGGAGTTTTTTAGTTGATTCCTTCAGATTTTCTATAATCATGTCATATGTGAACAAAGACAATTCTATTATTTTCTATCCCAATCAGTACTCCTTTTATTTCCTTTTCTACCTTCTTGCATCAGCTAGGACTTCCAGTGTGATGTTGAAGAGTGAGAGAGGATATCCTGACATTAGCTGGGGCTGGGCTTGGTGGCTCAGTCTGTAACCCCAACACTTTGGGAGGCCGGGGCAAGTGGCTTGCCTGAGCCCATGGGTTTGAGACCAGCCCAGGCAACTTGGCGAGACCTCGTCTCTATGATAAAAACCAAAAATTAGCTGGGCATGGTAGCACATGCCTGTAGTTCCGGCTACTTGGAAGGCTGAGG